ATATGAGATTAAAAATATCCTTGTGTGAGTGAGAAAGGGAGCGAGAGAGAGATTTTAATGAATACATGGCAGTATTTTCACGTTGCATACAGTAAGAAAAAAAATATTACCCACCCACCCTCTGTCTTTCTCGTTTTCTGTCTTCCTCTCCTAGCTTGTGAAGGCACACAAACAGAAGGCGTCCATACTAATCAGCATAGGCCTACTTGAGTTTTCAAAATAAAAAGAGGGAGCTTGTCAGACAATTTAACATGTAACAATTTAACATGTAATTTGTAAATTTGATTATGTACATTAATTTACCTCATCAACAGATAAATGAGCATTTCCAAATAGCTCATTTGAATGCATTCATAATAATGGCCTCCATTCTGTGTGTTTACATAGGCCTATGCATGTGCATACTCTTACATATTTGACTTAATAATAACTAGTTTACCTAATAAAATAAAATGTCTGTGGCTATACAATTTAATATATTACTGTATATTTAACGGTACATACTGAATAAAATCAAAATACTATGGTATTTTTAAATTACTTTGGGGAACAATGTACGCTACCATTCAGACATTTAGGGTCAGCATAGAAATGAATACTTTTATTCAGCAAGGATGCATTAAACTGATAAAAAAAATACTGTAAGGCTTTTGCCTGATTGCTGCTCTTTTGAACTTTAATAATCAAAGAATCCTGAAAAAAAGGGGAAAAAATACGGTTTCCACAAAAAATATTAATCAAAAGGGATTTTTCAACTGTGTTAAGGCTAAATATTTATTGAGCACCAAATCAGCATATTATAATGATTTCTGATGGATCACGTGACACTGAAGACTTTATATTGACTTTACCATCACAGTAATAAATTACATTTTAAAATTAATATTTTTAAGTTATTTTAAGTTTTAATAATATTTCACAATATTACTGTTTCAGTTTTGGTCAAATAAATGCAGCCTTAGTGAGTATAAGAGACGTTTTCCAAACACAAATCTTACCAAAATTAAACTTCTGAACGGAGTAAATCCATGCATGAATATAGTCATCATTCAGAACCTCATTGTACCACAGTTGTATGGTACAACCACAATATTTTGTGTAAACCTTACACACAATGTTTTAGATAGTAATCAATATGACCACTAAATAAATAGCCTATTATAAAAACACACATTACAATTTCATATTTGTGGTGGTGTGGTGATATGAAATAAATTATAATTAAATGATGAAATCAAAGAAAAAGTAGAAGCCAGATGGTTATTATCCCTCATTAACCAGTGTGGTCAGAGTTCTTTTCATTTTTCATGAAGGGGAGACTTCCATGTCTGTGAGCAAGACCCCGTCGCCAGTATCGGCCCTCCAATTATTAGGCTCCTGCAAATGTCAGTATGTGTCATCAAACATTAATAAGTATTAATACGATCAGACCTCACAAGTGGAGTGCAGCTTATATCTCCCATAATAAGGAATGAATGTCTCCCATTCACTGCACACAAATGTTGAATGAACCACAACCAAGTCTTTAAAGATGAATAACATTTAAGGTCTTTGAATCCAGTTGAGAGAGAGAGAGACTTTGAAAGGCTATTTCACTGATTGAACAGGTACTTTATTGAGTATCCCTCATATGGCATTTGATCTTCTGTGTGAAGCTGCAAATGCTGACAGAGACACAGGAGGTTTCTTAATTGCCTGTTTGACTTTTATCAACTGGGATGAAGTCAGTCAACCTTTCTCAGCTTGGACTAATTGTATATATTAAAGAAGCCTGCACTTCTTAAAGAGATACTCCACCCAAAACTTGAGGGTGAGTAAATGATGACAACATTTTAATTTTTGGGTGGAGTATCCTACCCTTTAATAAATTCAGGTAATGAGAAGACGCTACCATACACCAATTAACTCTCAGAGCAAGTAACTCAGACTGTTATTAATCATTCAAAACAGCAAACTTTTTTAATTTTTAATCAGGAAGACTCAAAATGTACAGATTAGTTTTTTTTTTCCGTCTTCACTATGGCCTAACAAACACCAATTTGTCTGGGAGAGAGAAGAAAAACCCAGAGTGGATTTGGAATGGAGTGATTACAGAACTGCCCCACTCCTATACAAATTATATTCCTATTATTCAAATCAGTTAAATGATTATTAGGTTGCATGGATTAGGTCAGCCGGAACCGGCAACACTTCCTATAACATCCGATGTACTCGTTACATCATAAGAAAAATGGGATCTACGCTAATGTTAGTCTTTCTGATTAACGAAGCCGATCCGGGCCATATCCAGATCAGATGGTGGACCTGTATAGACATGACCAAGCGTGATGATGTCAGCTGGATCCGGGCCATATCCAGATCAGATGGTGGATCTGTATCTAGACATGACCACAATGCGATGTAGTCAGCTGGATCTGGGCCGTATCCAGATCAGGTGGAGGACCTATGCCTAGACACGACCACAACCCATCCCTGAAGTGTCAGCAGAGGTTGTGTCAACAAGACTCTCTGCTGTGAAGGCTTCATCAACACAACAGCCATCATCACTGATCCTCAACATAATCATCTCCATACTGTGTGATGACTCCAATCTTCAACCAGATGGAACTGGATTCATATTTTCTGATTGTTCTAATCCACTCTGACTTCTGACCTATAATGCTGCCTGAATCATAATCATACACTGTTCGTTCATTGGCCAGAGGAGAACTGGCCCCCCGACTGAGCCTGATTTCTCTCAAGGTTTTTTTTCTCCATTCGTTTCTTTTTTCTTTTTTTAATCAAGTTTTGGTTCCGTGCCACTGTCACATTTTTTGCCTTTGTTGCTTGCTTAGTTAGGGACATTAAATTTAACATTTCATTCAATTTTCTACAACAGTGATCTGCCTGCATTGACATTATTATAAGAGAACTGAACTGATCTGGACGATGACATCACGGTTTTCTCCAGAGAGACATTTCTCCATATATAAATGAACTAAATTAGTAACTTTTTACAACAAAAAATGAAACACCACTGAACTTACTTAACTGTGACGCTATTTTCTTCGAGAAACAAAATAGGTTGCATTATTTTATAGGTTTCACAACCCATTTAAAGTTGATAATTCCGCGAATGACTGCAATTGCAGATTTCGAACAGAGATGGCGACAAAGAGGAAAAAATATGGACAGCAGCTTTAATATTAAATGCAGTATATGATTTAACTGTTGTGTAAAAGTAATACTTCTTTAATATGAATTAAGAAGACAGCCGAGGTGGGGAACAAAGCAAACAAGTAAAGAGGCTGAATCTTTTTTATTACTGTAATTCAGACTTATTGCTCCTCTATTGTAAAGTAATACAATAATCATCTTAAACTGAAATAATGCACACCACCACTGACAAGATATACATATACGGGACACAAATCAAATAAATTAATTTCGACTTTGTAAAAGTTGTTTAGTCAATATTTTCAGAGACTGATGCCCTAGAGCAGAATTCAAATTGGCTGCAGTTTCAAACCACAGAAATAATAGTGATTATTTACATCCCTGATCATATACATTAATAAACATAATGATAAATCTATTGCACTCTAGACTATCGGTGAGAAGCACACTGTAAAATATGTGCACATGTATGTGTACTGGTGGATAGACGGTTACTTTTTACACCACACAATGAATGCCAATGAATCGTTATTAATTTACATGGAAATCATGCGATGCATAACCTGGATTTGTAATTTATTGCACATGGCCTCTTGCAGACTCACACCTGTAGGTTACTCTCAGGCTTGCTCTTTTCCTCTAGCACCATGGGAATATTTGTGCTCTACTGGTTAATTAGACAGTGCCCTGTTGACCTCAGAGTTCAGTGTGCTTTAGAAACCCTGTGCTGATTAGTTGCCAATGATACTACACACTCGTGGACAATAGAGACCTACCGAGGTTTTTTAAATTTCCTTTATAGAGGTGAGCGAGTCACACATATCATCTAACACATCTAACACATGAATGGTTTCCTGCACACACATTTTACCTACAGTCATAAATAGGCCCACACGGAAACCTCTTTTTTTCTTTAACATTTGTGGGGTAAATCTGATAAATGGATTTAAACAGGCCCGTAACCACCATAGAAGCCCACATCTCTCTCCACCCCCCCAAACAGACATGGTCAAATTGTCCCCCTGATATTTGATATTATTTATTCTTAATCCATTACTCACCCCTCTGTTTGTTGTTAGGATGATAAAAAAAAGTTTGACAAATTAGTTTTTTAGGTTGGTTTGCCTTAGAAATCTGCCTTATAGGCTCTTCAACATCAAAGTGATTAAGATAGCCAATCAAATAACAAAAAAATCGATGTTCCTGTTACCGTTCACAGAAGACTAGTTTGATGTGATTCAAGCTCAATGCTTCAGTTTTAAGTGTGAGGTGAGATGTAAGTAGCCTAGCTAAACATTTAATATTTGACAACATAGAGTTTCACAATTTTGAATTGAAAATATAGGCTGTCGTTTACTTGATTCATGCAAATCATAACTGAATGTGATGGGGAACGACACGGGGAATACCATATTCAGCATATGATTAGGCATTCAGTAAACGAAATAGACACACGACCCCACTGATTTCAACGGAGAAGACCGAAGCCCGATTACTGCACTTCCTGCCTGATGTCTGAGCGACTGCGCAGGCTCAAACTCAGCGTGACGACAGTCTGACAGTTGAAAATCTTCTAGTAGCTGGTCCAAACAAAATCTGAATCACCTAATTCCTCCAAAACTTTGTTGAAATATTTTGTCTCGTAGCTTTTATGGACTCTCGATTTATGGGCTTCTACCTTGACTTTGTGTCGACAAAAACCGCTTCCACGGGGCCATAACGTAAGATACAAAGTAATCGAGCATTTTTACATTGTTGTGATTCTTTAGAAATAAATAATGGACAAATTAAGTCTTTGGACGCCTTAGGTGTAAAGTTATTCGCTGTCAAAATGACGCCAAAATGAATGGGAGTCAATGGGATGCTAACAGCAGGTGAAGTTCTGCTACAATGGCGGCTCCCACGAGGCTTCAACTTCCGGGTGATGGATTACCTCCTCACCAGCACAGTCCCCTGATGTCACAGCATCTGCATGCAGCCCAATTTTTGTGTCTGCACAGAGTCGCGGACTTGTGAACGGACAACAGCACATTTGCGAGCAGATGTGGACAGTAACAAAGTACATTTACTTGAGCACTGTACTTAAGTACACTTTTTGGGGATCTGTACTTTACTTGAGAATGATTTTTTTCTGGAAACTTCTTCACTACATTTGAAAGACAAATATCATACTTTTTTATACTTTTTAAGGTCTTTGAGTTCAAAGCTGTAACGTCAGTCAGGGGATGACTTTGGTTGCAAGGGTTCCATTTTGGTTTGAAACGAAAGTCGGGTTGGCATCACTGATGTCAACGTCAACCCGACTGATGATGGTTTCTGACGTCCACCCGATTTTCATTTTCACCCACAATATAACGTCTGTCCAACGTTTGAAATTAACGTCAATCTGACGCTGGATTCAGACATCAACCTGATTTTCATTTTCACCGTTGGGTTTTTTCAGTGTTTTGGAGCACACTAGCTTATAGGCTAACATATTCATTCATACTAAAAGCCAAACAACTTTAAATATGGCACTATTTGAGGGAACAGCCATTTGGATATCCAAAACCATTGTAGACATCATTGATTATACAATCTCACATTCAATGCCACTACTGGAACCGTTTTCTAGAAATAAATTTGTTATTTATATGATGATAGGTAGGCAGGCATAGATTCAGAGGCATAAGGTACTGTAACATACAACAATGCAAAAATAATAAAACAATGCGTTGACATTTACTTTTGATACTTAAGTACTTTTAAAAACGAGTACTTCTGTACTTTTACTTAAGTAAAAATCGGTCTTTACAACTTTTACTTGTAATGAACCCGTTGAACACGTCTGTCCACACCTGGTCCACATTCGCGGTCAAAAGAGTATATTCTTAACTGTGCGTGAGATGGAGCAGTGCGTGGAAAATAACATATACCTGGGCATTATGATTGAATGTGAGCATATTTTCAAATAAAAAAAAAATTTTTTCCCTTTGTTCCCTTAAATCCCTTAATTCCTTTTAAAAACAAAAGTGCCTTGATCCCCCCGGTGCTCAAAACATGGTTACGGCCTTTGGATTTGAACATGATGAAATATGTTGAAAATATCCATATTTGCAGCTAAAAGCATAATTAAATTATCCAAGATGTTTAATAAATGGACAGAAGGATCGTGTATACAAGGGAATGCGCATTCAGGTTCCGTGTGAGCCTAGTAACAAACCACATACACACAAACACTCACTCTCTAACAGCCTCCGCCAGGCAGCGGTCAGTAGCATCGCTGCAATCTGCCCCGTGCTTGCGACGGATCCTGGTGTTAGTGCCAATACGAGTCTGAGTGTTTTGTGGCCGCAGCCTGCGCAGACGGGTATGCAGAACTTTGCGCAGTTTTTGGCGCGTGAACGCATAAAGCAGCGGATGTAGCACTACCGTCCAATAAGCGAGCACCAGAAAGCAGAGTCTCAGGCGTTCTAGCCAATTAGACGGCCCGATGGCCAGCATGAGAAGAGGAATGATGGAGAGAGGCGCCCAGCATAGCAGAAACGAGAGGATGATGATGACGGACATGCGAAAGACTCGCCTTCGGCGTTCCCTTCGATCTCGGTGGCGCCGAACCGCTCGACGCAGAGCCAAAATGGCCGAGACTGACGCGCCCACACCCATGCTAGACGGACTCTGGATGGGGGCGGGACTTAGCTGCGCGGTTACTGTAGACACAGTGGGCATGGGAGTCAAAGGCGTGGTCACTGATGTAGCAAGGGTGGGAATGTGGGTGCTAGTTATGACAGACACAGATGCGGGGGGACTCAAAGGCGTGGTTGCCATTGATGCAGTGGGAGTGGGGCTTAAAGGCGAAGTTATCACAGACACAATGGGGGTGGGGCTCAGGGGGGTGGTGAGTGAGGGAGTATTCGTCTCAGTGTTGATGGTTACCGTGGTAACTGCATCTGAGGTGATAAGTGGTGCAGTCGAAAGCGGCGGGGGGGAAGTGGGTGTGTTTGTCGTAATGTGATCCGGCGACCTCATTGACCTTTTACAGCGTAACCAGAGACGAAGTCCAGGACCGGGTCGTTTGCTGTCTCGATGGGGCCTGGCCGTGCGTCCGATGCGGATGCGCAGTGCCTGAAGAATTCGGGAGTATGTAAACAGCATCACAGCGAGAGAGCACAGGAACACGGGAACCTGTAGTAACAGATGAGCCTGCAGAGTTCCTCCCCACTCTGAACAAAGCACAGTGCTATTGGAGTGCAGAAACACCCCCTCGCCTTGCCCCGACACAAACCCCGCCTCCACGAATGGTAGGAGTGGCATGGCTAAAGAAATCACCCACACTGCAACAAGCAAAACGGTTGCCCTTCGAGGCGTCAGCAGGCGATTGGCTGGCCGGACACTGATGTCATAGCGGTCTAAGCTGATGAGCAGCAGGTTGAGTGCGGTGCCTACACTGGCAAAGCTGGCTGCCGATTCGTGAAGACAGCAGAGGAGGGCGTGGTGAGGAACCGAGGCTCCGCCCAGTATGAGGAGCGTGGCAGTGATCGGCAGGCAGAGGAGACAGAGCAGCAGGTCAAGGGTGTGCAGGCTGAGCGTGACGGCATGGCTGACGGACTCCAACAGGCTGCAGTGACCACAGTATAACACCAGCACGGTCAAATTGCCGCCCACCCCCAGGAGCAACTCCAGCAGCAGCACAGCACTCAGTGTAGCCCGGAAGCCCAGCCACGTCCCGTCCTGCTGTGCGAGTCCGACCCCCACGCTATCTTCTGCCTGTAAGAGGGACAGACCGTGGCCCTCAGTGAAGCTGCCATCTGTCTCCATGGACACCGTCGCCACGTGCCTTTAGGCATAGCAATGCCAGCCACTCCCACTGGCCATACTCCACCTACTCAGGTGTTTTCTTGGGGCGTTGATAAACGATTGACAGCTCTATGGTGAGAAGACAAAAACAGAATGAAGCATTAATGAACAGGCCAAAATGTACAGAATTTACTGAAGCAGGACACAGTGAGATCCAGTGACCCCTTTCCCACTGAATTTATTTAGATATTTACTGTATGTAACATTTAAAAGTATATTACTGTTAGAGATTCACCGATGCAACCAACCGAGCACTGGCATCATTTTGGTGAAAAAGTGGTGTAAGTGTAATAAGGTAATTGATCTAGCAAGACAGAACGGAAACGATGAGTATGACTTACACGTGATTCTGCAGTCCCGCACACAGTTAAAGGGATAGTTCATCCAAAAATGAAAATTAGCCCATGATTTACTCACCCTCAAGTCATACTAGTTGCATATGACTTTCTTCTTTCAGATGAATACAATTGGATTTATATTAAAATGGCTCTTCTAAGCTTTATAATGGCAGTGAATGCCTGCTTTTGTTTTAAAAAGTACATAAAAGGGCATCTGTCCACTTTAATAAAGTGGGTTAATAAAGGCCTTCTGAAGTGAAACGATGAGTTTGTGTAAGAGAAATATTAATATTTTTAACACATTACAAAGTAAAATTCTACTTACACCTAAAGTAACTTGTGACGTCGGAAGTAGCGTAGTGCTTCATGGCGTAGCGGAAATATCAGTTGTAAGTTGCATTACTCGCGTAAGTTGCGCTTTATAGTGGAATCCATACGTTCGTTGTGCCGGAAGCTAGTTATTTTATTTTATAAAGTTTTAAATATGGATATTTTTCTTACACAAATACATCGCCATGTGGAGCACTTTTATAATAGATAGATGCACTTTTATAGACTTCACAACAGAAACGGCCATTCAAGCTATTATAAACCTTGGAAGAGCCAGGACATTTTTTTTTATATAACTCCGATTGTATTGGTCTGAAAGAAGAATGTCATGTGCACCTGACTTGAGGGTAAGTAAATCATGGGCTAATTTTCCTTTTTTGGGTGAACTATCCCTTTAAGTTTTAACAGACAGATGAATTGCTTCACAGAACGATCTCTCACACATGACCAAGGACACCTTAATGAATTTAGTTATGGAGAATGGATACAGAAGTGTAGAAAGACTGCTCGGTGTCAGATTGTAATTAGTCTACTAGCAATTTAACGTGTTGAAGAAACGGACATGATTCTAATAAACACAAAATCAATCTTAAGTGCTCTAAAATATGTGCCTTTAAATCAAGTCAACTCTCAAATTATAGGCTGCGCAATTACAGCAGCCTGTCATAAAAAAAAATCATAAATAAATAAATAAATGATTTTGACTTGAGACTGATCCCATTTCTAGGATGGTTGTTACTATGGCAACTGATGTACAGTTTGGTCCAAAAAAATAAAAAATACAAAATTCGAGAGTTTTAACATCTGTGGCTGTTAAAGTGGGGCTCAGAGTTTGCCTCTTGAGCACATCTGTGATATTGACCGCAGGAGGAAAGTTTTGATGTTTAACACAATGAGACTGCAGAGGGAGGGAAGGCAATACGGTTGGCATGCTGATGCGCCCCATGCCATGGTGGTAATGAAAAGAGGTCACTGCAGTGGAACTTTTGAATGACAGTACAAGACTTAGATTTAGGGCTCAGATGAACAACTGAAGCCTGACATCTTATGCGCTTAGAAGTGACACTGAGGCAAAAATAAGTAAGACTGACTTTTGTCAGAGAAGCGGGATCACGGCTTTGCATGTACTAAGGAATGGTGAGAGAAAGAGAGAGGGAGAGAATGAGAGATGAGTAGGAGGTGCAGGTGCACACTGTGTTGTGAAATCGCTGGAGGTTTGTTTTTACCTCCTACCATCTATCCATCATTGTGCTATGCTTGAGATCCATCCATCTTTCTTTAGACTAACCATGCTGTCTCAGCTCTCTCTGCCATTTATCAGACTCTATTTCATTATTGTTTTTTTCCAAGACAATTTGGTCTGTCCATGCTGGTTTTTAGCCTGCCTGGTACAGCAACATAACAGTTCACCCAAAGATAGAAATGCTGTCATTATTTGTTCACCCTCATGTTGTTCTAAACCAGCATATTGTGATTTTTCTGTAGAACACATGTTATTCACACAGCTTTTTTCCATCAAATGACAAACTATGATGACATGTCTAGTATCTACATTATGGTAAACTAAATGTAAATGTTGGAATAAAATAAGCAGGAAATATATTCCTTAATAAAATAAGTTTAATTTTAATAGTCAAGTCAAGTCCCATTCATTAATATAGTGCTTTTACGGACTATAATGCGTTAAGAGCTCGCTTAGGTACTGGGGAGCTAAACCACTTAGTGCTTTGTAAGTAATCAGCAATATTTTAAAATCTATATGATGTTTAATAAAGAGCGAGTGCAGTGTTGACAGAACTGGGCTAATATGGTCATACTTCCTGGTTCTAGTAGGAACTTGAGCTTCTGCATTTTGAACCAGCTTGTGTGTTTGTTTGGACCAGCATGCTTCTTGTTTGTTTACTAAGCATGCAGGGCCACCACCCATAATATCATTACAATAATCTAGCCTTGATGACATGAACGCATAACTAATTGTTCTGTATTTGTCATTGAGAGCATATATGACGTAATTTAGATTTATTTTTTAGATAGAAAAATGTGGTTTAACAGATAATAGACACGTGACTTTCAAATGAAAGATTGGCATCAAAGAGCACACCCAGGTTCCTAACTGACGACGAAGACTTGACAAAGTAGCCATCAATTTTAGCCATCAGACAATATTGTAGATTATTACGTGAGATGTATTTTGGCCAATAATTTGAATCTCTGTTTTTTTAGAACTAAGTAGTAGGAAATTACTATCCAGTTTTTTCCGTTAATTTTGTGAATTGGTAAGTTTCGTCAGGGCATGAAGAAATATAGAGCTGAGTATCGTCAGCATAACAGTGAAAACTAAAACCATGCTTCCTAATGATATCTCCTAAGGGTAGCATGTACAGAGTGAACAGTAACGGTCCTAGTACTGAGCCTTGTAGTACGCCATACTGAACTTTTGATCGATAAGACATCTCTTCATTTACTGCTACAAACTGATAACGGTCAGATAAGTATGATTTAAACCTCGTAATGCAATTCCACTAATGCGAACATCATTTTTGAGTCTATTTAAAAGAATGTTGTCGTCGATGGTATCAAATGCAGCACTAAGGTCGAGTAGCACTAATAGAGAGATACAAACATGATCGGATGATAAGAGCAAATCATTTGTGACTCTAATGAGAACTGTCTCAGTACTATGGTACGGTCTAAATCCTGACTTAAAATCCTCACAGATATCATTTCTTTCTAGAAAGGAAGACAGTTGTGAGGATACTGCTTTTTCTAGTATCTTTGACAGAAAAGGTAGATTGGAAACCTCTGGGATTGTTTATTTTCTTCTAATAAGGTTGAAAATTTAAGCAGATCTAGCAGCTTTTAAGGCCTCTCTGTATGCAATCGTTCTCTTTCTATGAAATACGAAAAAACTAAATTATTCTCGTTATGCTCGTACTATGGCTTTGGACTATTTTCTTTAATCTTCTTTAAGCGCAAAGGAGCAACCATGTCTAAAGTGATCGAAAAGAGAGAGTCAAAAGTTTCTGTCGCAATATCGATTTCTTCTAAGCTGGGATGCCAAGGAAATGAAACAGATCAGGAATATTATTGATAAAGCAATATTTTAGATTTAGTTCACTATAAAAACCGTGCTGCAGCATTCAAATCTTGTTATTCTGCATATTCACACTGCCACACTGCGATTGGTCACATGATACATCAAACCAGGCAAACTGTGCAAATATTCTTCCTTTGCATTCGACAAGAAAAATAACAGCATACAGGTTTTAAATGACATGAGGTTGAGTAAACAATCATAAAATTTTTCTATTCCTTGTATAACAATAGCAGAGGCATTAAAACCACTGCATCTTATAATTTATTGGTGTGTCTCCAAGTCAAAATTGATTTCTAATGAGCATATTAATGGTGGAATTAATATGCAAAGGCATTTGTTTAGACTGTGGAAAAGAAAGAGCATGACAACATGTGAAACTACATTCACAAGGCAAGGAGGAACCAAAATAACTCCACATCTAGAAGGAGCTAAAATAGCTGATGATCTAGATTCCTCTTTCCTTTCATACACATTCTCAACAGATCAGGGCCACTTATATGCCTGCTCTGTACTCTGTTTCTTGTTGTCGCTTTTTGTCCTAGAAGAAAACTGTAGCCTTTAATCTTATTATAAATTTACACAATCTCATAAAAGCTCCTTTTCCTTCTTTCAACTGGCATCTTGCAGCCTGATCTGAAGTGCATCTGAAAATCCATTTGGCTGTAATCAGTGAGAATGTGTGTGCGTGTAGGAGCAAAAGATGATGATGGGTGTGATGAAAGTCAAATGATTGACGCAGGCGTATTCAACTTTTTTCCCCCTCAATAATTTTGCTGGAGTCACGTGTCTCTGAGCATGTGCATGTGTCCAGTTGTGTTTGAGATTATCAATGTGAGAGGATGATGCCTTGATTCAAATTGGAATGTCATAAGGCATCACATAGGCTGAGAAGTCCACAGTGACTGATAATGGCTAGCCTATTCAAACCAATGAATAAAAAAAACATTCATTTGCAATATAGCTATTCAAATTACATCTTGAATTGTATCTACACAGGCTCACTGCAGATAACAGGGAACACAGGCAACACATGGATTTGCTCGGTAAACAAATCGTCCGTAGTGGCGAAATACCCCGCATATGGCATTGGTGCCAATTTTTGTTGTTGTTGTTGCAGTGTGAAATATTAGGACTCGCGTCCAGATCAGAAGACACCGCTAATTGTCTCTCATTTCTATTCCCAGGCGCGCGCTCTCAAAATGTACCACTTAAACAGACCCAAACGAATGAAGAGAGGTGGTAAAATCGACTCGAATGGCAGTCAAGTGGAAATATAGCCTCGTGAGTAGTGTGAAGATGCATCAAGGTTTCTACTCACCTTGCCCCGCGCGCCGGGAATCCCCGCTACATTCCAATGCGGTCCGTGCAGCGCGCGCGCTACTCTCTTTCACTCTACTAGAGCGCGAGATTCCTAGGGGCTTCGGGACAGTCAGTTGTCAGGTACGTGCCCGGACTAAATGTCTCACCTTCAGTGGTGCTAAACGCTGATGGAATTCGCCACGGTGCTTCTGTGAGTACCTATGAGTGCCGCTATCCTGTGTAGTAGACGTACTGAACCCGCTCTCTCAGCGCGAGCGCGCGCGCACACACACACACGCACACTGCAGGCTTCATCGTGGAAACGCACAAGCTACTGTCTGCAGTCCATGCGATTCTTAAAAACAAATGTACAAGATATGGTTTCTGCGTGGATGACATTTGATATTCTATTATTTTTTATTTTATTTGAATTAATTAAAACATGAAATCTCAATGCCAGTCACTAGCTGTAAATGTAAATATGAGAGTAAGTATATATATATATTATATATATATATATATATATATATATATATATATATATATATATATATATATATATATATATATATATATATATATATATATATATATATATATATATATATATATATATATATATATATATATTTCTTTCAATGTACCAAGGATTGATTAAAACAGTATATAGATTAAGACATGGTTGACCCCTGGAGCCTCAAATTTGATGCACAGTTGTCAGTGATTTACATAAACTCATTAAAAGGCACGAAGATTCCTCTAAAGTAACAGAATAAAAATATAGACTGGCACTCAAACCATTTGTTATTAAGCAGACTTGGGAATATAAAACAAAATACCGTAACAGATGGACTGGCTATAATGCAGTCAATGAATAAATATGAGTAGAAATGAATATGAAAACAGTGTTTGAGTGACAGCCCTGAAAGAGTAGTAATGAGTGTTTGTTGGCACCTTAACAAGATGGTCCAGAATCATTACTGAATCATCAGATGTGTAACAAAGATTGATGCACAAACAAGCAAAAAAGACAACAGAGTGACAGCAAATTAACAACGAGAGAACAGAGAACAAAAAGACACTGTAATTTTGTCCTACAGGTTGTTACTGACTTTTTAATGAGGCTCTGTGCCATTTAAGGCTAGTCTTATTATTCATAGTAAAAATGAGAATTCCAACATTACAATCCAATGAACATTTTGTCTAGTCTCATGTTTATTTTCCCCTTTAAATATTGACGTTTATTCCAAGCAAATGTTGAACAAGAAGAAAAGTCTGATCACTTTACAGTGTATGAATGTATACCTGGAAAATTTTTATGTGCCATTAAAACTGGCAGACAGACAGTCTTGTGCAAATAAAAATGTAAACTGCTCCATCACTTTAAATGAACAGGTCTGTAGAAGTGTAATCCATATACTAAAATGGAACACAAATACTGAATATAATTAATAGAATACATGAAAAACAATAAAAATCAATCAGCAATATAAAAATATCTTTAAAAATAACACCATTTGTCCAAGTAAACATGCAACATCTGATAATGAAAGAACATTCATTCTCCTTTTCAAACAGATACAAATACAGATCTACATGTACAGTACAATTTTGTACAGCATAGATTTATTCTAAGAACGAGTCTAAGATCAATTCTTTAAGAACTGGAATATTACACTGTATTCTCGTTTCTGTTTTTAGCACCTGAGAAAATGTCAGTGGGTGTAAATATTTTGGCATCAAGGATTAAGTGAAAATTGAAAGATAATGTGGTATGCTGCGACTAACGTACATGTATATTTGCGTATAAACTTATTTACCTAAATGTTTTTGTGGATCCGTACATGGACAGTATGTTATGTTATAAACAATGTTTCTATTTTACCTTTGTCTGCAGTACAATATGACTAGATGAATCTAGACTGGCAGCAAGATTAACAGTTGTTTGGCAGCTCAACAGACACAAAATAAATAAACAAGAAAAAGATCTTTAAGATCTGATCAATATTTAAAATTTGCTTGTCCCATTGAGGAAAAGGTGTTGACATCAGTCTTTACCTCAATCTCTTGTGCATGATGGCAGAGTTCAACACTGAGGTTTAGGTTTTTATATTGTTGATGAGTTAGAGATCCATTTACAGTCAGCTCTTGTCTTCAAACTAAAACACAACTCTAAAACAGAATAGACAAGATTGTAAAGAAAACCTCTTATAGATAGATGCAGTGCAGAACCTTATCTCTATCCCATCCAATTAATAATTCATGAGCAAATATGGATTAATGCACCATGTGTCACCTTCAGCCCAGTGCGTGTTAAATGTACCTTTTTACTGTTGCAGACAGAGTTTCTCACACTCTTCCTTCTGTAAATAGCGATTAGCGTTCCCTCCACAGCCGCTGTAGATAAAAGGTCTACAGGCGCCCACCTGAGAATTAAAGTACCAGCGCAGAGTAAACCGGGAACAGTCACCCTCTTCCATGGGCAAGATGCAAGAGTCTAAAAACACATGAAGGAATGGTTCAATGGTTGAATTTTTTTTTTGTTCAGCAAGGATGCATTCGATTGATGAGAAGTGACAGTACATTTATGTTACAAAATATTTCTATTTAAATGATTAAAAATATATTTAACTTTATTTTTATCAAAGAATCCTGAAAAAAAAAACATTATTGGTTTCCAGAAAAATATTAACCCTCTGGTTCTCTTCGTGTGGCGAAGCATACGGTTAAAAGATGGCTGTGTCTCATATGACCTTGTTATTTGTACACTCTGTGACTATACAAATCACAACATGTAAATAGGAAAATGTTTGCGTTATTTTGTCACTTATTTGGCATTAGTATGCTAGCTTACATCCAGTCTTTGTGCTAAACTAGGCTAGCGGTGGGTGCGTCAGACAGAGTTACAGCACGCACGGAGATGAAAAAGGTATGTATGGACTTATCTAACTCTGGGGGATACGGTGAATAAGCTAAAGTCCCAAAAAAGTCGGCGTGTTCCTTTAAGACTGGGGTAATGATGCTGAAAATTCAGAGGAATAAATTATAAAATGTTAAAAAAAAGAAAACAGTTGGTAGTACTTTATTTCAATAATACTTTAGTCCACTTTAGACAATCTACTTACTTTAAGTAACTTTGAAGCTACATGTCAACTACCAGTCATTAGAGTATTAGTTGACGGATAGCTTAATATCCCCCAACAGACATTCTAATAACTAGAAGTAAATATGCAACTACATCAAAATTACTCCACTAACATGAACCTTAACACCTAACCCTAACCTAAAAGTCTACTAATAATCCAATGAGAGTAAGTTGTTAAGATACATGTAGAATGCCTAAAGTGGACCATCAAATTTAAGGGTAAACAAACAGTAATTTTAAGGTAATGATATTCACAATATTACGGTTTTCTCTGTATTTCAATCTAATAAATGCAATATTGGGGACCTTAAAATGATTTTCAAAAACATTACAAAATTGTTCAGACCCCTAAATTTTCAGCTACATGATGGCCAAAAGCTTTTTCAGCTACATCCAATATTTCTGAATGCAGAAACATTCCATAATCAACACATTTATATATCCTGAATTCGTGCAAATTGAACAATATGGCGAAAGACGGTCATTAAATGCACACATGGCATATTCAACTCTTAAACTTTAAGTCATTATGGAATCTCTATAGTTGAGAATACCACAGAGATCTGTAGAAATATCCAGCTCTTTTCTGTGGCAGGACAGCTGCTTGCAATCTCATACTAAGAGCTGTCATGTTGATGAGTCAGCGGGTTTACAGCATGCAGCAGATACACAGAGAAACAACAGGAAGTGAGCACAGCAAAAGAACAATAGTGTGCAGCAATTACAGAGTCCAAAATTATGATAATCCATCATCAGTTCTGTAAGGGGTTTGAAGATAGTGACATCAACAAAGCATAAGTTTAATACATTCCTACAGATAGCATTTGTAAGTATTCTGTCCCCAACAATAACATGGAAAAACAGAAAAAATGTGAAGAATGTATTAATAAAATATGCACCATCAACATTGATATTTCCACACTCCAATATGCAACATCACGAGTGATGGCTTACCTTCACTTTTCACCTCTCTTTTTGTCCTTTCAGCTTTTAATGAATCAACAGAGACTGTTTGACCTGCCAAAATATCAATATATTATCCTGTGTCTGCACATACAGTTACACATTTTCTGAAGAAGAAAAAGGCATACTCTGGCTTTTATTAACAGTGGTGTCATAGTCAGAAATCTCCACCACTGGAGCGTCATCATCATAGGTCTCTATAGAGTAAATGTGCTCATAGTCTGGATCATTTGTGTTCATCACCACACGCAGCTTTGGACCTGCAAAAAATAATGGATGCACACATAAAGAAAGCTTTTGGAAATCAGAGTTTAAAATGCTGGAATATCATAGTTTGAAATCAATCGATGTACATGTGCAACTGGATGATGTTAAATACAAGCATGTATTTAACAGATCCCACTTATTTTCATGGCAGAAACATAATTTCTGTTTAAAGGGGTAGTTTAAAGAAAAAAATTCTTTATTGTCATCTTTTATTCACCCTCATGTTGTTCCAAACCTGTATAACTTACAGTAAATTCTTCCATGGAACATGATAATGAGATGTTTTGAGGAATGTTGACACTGCTCTTTTTTAAATAATGCATTGACCACCATTGGGGAAAAGTGCACTTTAGCATACTTGGAAAAAAAAACATTCCTTATGGAAATATACTTGAATGTAATGTTTTGGACATGTAATAGATATTACATGAACAAGTATTATAATTTAAATTTATATTAAATGCAGGTAGCTTAAATTGAGAGGTTTTTTTTACCCACTTCAGTAGGACTTACATACATTTTTACATGTAATTTCATAATGACCTCTATTGTTTGTTGAAATTTGGTAAGTGCACTGACGAATGAACTGAGAAGCACGCAGAGCACGCAAAAACGCAATGTGAACATTCTTCAAAATATCTACTTTTGTGTTTCACACATGAGAAAAAGTCATGGAATGAGAGATGGATGAATAAACAAAGACAGAATTTTTATTTTTGGGAGACCTATTTCTTTAAACTAGTCCTTTCAAGAAAGCAATAAATATGGGACAGAGTGACAGGATTTTTTTTAGCTTAGAAGAGAAGTGGATAAACAGAAATAGCAGGACGAATTGAGGATAGGACTCACCCTCCTCGTCCCCTCGGGTTAGTGAGCGCCCAGGGGACGTGGAGGAGCTACTTCGGTAAGTCTGCACTCCTACAGGTATCTGAACGTCCTGAACACCTGAGAACAAGCCCACAACGAATTACTTAAGACAGCATACCCCGTCAGTGAACGCACACACAGGCATTCATGTGTGTAAAGATGTACTCAAACTTCATGCACTACAATAACAATTTTGCATGCACAAAACCCAAAGTTTAGCCATGTGGACGCAAACCAGAAATTTTCACAAACATTCTCAACAACAAGGTTTATACAGACTGAGACCACATCACACACAAAGTGTACTGTTAGTGTACTGTGTGGACACGAGTTTCTGATGCAATGATAGGAAAATGTAGCTATATTGAGACTATAAGTCACAACTTACCTCCACAAGCTTAGGGAAAAAGAGAGAAAGAGATAATCAACATTAATCAGAATTTGCATCCCATTTTACTTCTGTAAAATAATTTAATGGAAAAAAAGGTCAGGGATTGGCTATCACATTTATCATTAACCAGCTGTTCCATATCACAAAGGAGCCAGACAACAAATTGAGTTTGCAACTGATGAGGTGGACAAAAGTTTAAAACAATGTCTAAACAGGATTTTTTTTTTTCTTTCAGTGCACCAAAAAAGAAAGAGGATTCAAGTAGATTTCATGACTTCATGAAGTGAAACGGCCATTGATGGTGATGGAAAACTGTTATAGATGGAGATAAATGGCAATTATAAAAAGATCCACTCACCACAATGCAGGTTCATCTCAGTTCGAACATAACCCCGAATTTCATCCTCCTTTAAAGAATAAAGAGAGATGTGACCAGCCCTTGAGTCATTCTTACTTATCTTGAGGGTTCAATGTGAGGCTCGGGTAGAAGAATAAATTATGCATTACATTACAATAAGTCATGAATCGTAAAAGTCTATTTGTTCTGACCGTCATGCCTGGTTCTCCTCTGTCTCCTTTAGGTCCATCAGAGCCCATCTCACCCTAATACATAAACACAGAGACGCATTTAGCGATGACATATGTGTGGAAAATCAATGCAGAGGTAGATTATGTATATAGCCACCTGTTCTCCTCTCTCTCCTGGGATCCCTGGTATGCCACGTGGACCAACCATAGCCGGGCCTGCAGGACCTCTTTCTCCCTACAATAAATATTCAATACCTCACATACGATGAACTAAACTTGCTCATTGTGAATATGAATTAGGGTTTCCTGCAGCGCTATTTAGGAGCAGCACTGCTCTGCACTACATACACAAACATTACAGCAAAATAAAACAAATAACTTGAGAATTGTACTGTTTTGAGAGAGAAACACTCTAATGCATCTCTCAAACAATTGGCAAATCAGTCGGAAAAGAATAGCGTAAATTGTCTGATTCATTAACTAAATTGTCACGGCAACTCACATCCTCACTGAATCTGTTGATTACTCATTTGTTGAACCACAGGTTATTATGTCAGACATAAAATGAGCCCAGGTTGTTAAAGAAAGATGTGTATTTTTTATGTCGAAAAATAGTTTTGTTGTGATACATATTCATTTAAATGCATATTTTAATTATGTGTGGTCCAATGTCTTGAAGACACAACCCCCCCACCCCACACGGAAAACTAATGCATTGAAACGATGATATCCTCCATGATTGTGTAAATGTTCCTTTGCACATACACAGTGATACAGTGTAAGTTTTATACCTTTTGTCCTTGCAGACCCTCTGGACCTTTACCTCCAGCAGGTCCTTGAGGGCCTGTTAGACCGGAGGGTCCATCCACACCTCTCGGACCAGGAGGGCCTGGGATACCAGATGCGCCCTAAAGAAAAGCAACAGGAACAAACAATAAGTCACTTCTTTACTTAGATCAACAGCATTATATTTAAACAGCAGGGAGCTAAAGAGGTTTGCATACTCACCCGTTCGCCTTTGTCTCCTTGTGTTCCCTTTGGCCCCAAAACTCCATCAAAGCCTCTGTCACCCTGGGCATCAACAGATGAATGTTATGCAGTGTGTTTAAAGTTTAATTGCACCTGCTCCACATTTTTATGACTAAAGATTATGTAGTTCTATGTTACTGTAAAACAGTTTGTTGTCCACTAGCTTATTCAGTAGGCTTGTTGAAACTATTGGTATATTGGTACCAGAGCATGTGAGCAGTAATATTTCCTCCACAGCGGAATATTAATTGCAGCGTCACACTGGTCCGCTTATATGCTTTGGTTGGTACCAATCAATATTAAGATGATGAAAATACAATAATAATAATAAAATTCAGTATCAGTAGTACAGACTGTTATCAACCATGATAACAATGCTGGTATGCACCCATTACATTCACAGTTTTTGTAATATGCACTAAGACTTTTTATGTTTGAAATAAATCTATGTCCACCATTTTTTAATATATTCTAAATTGGAATTTATTTATCTTGATAGCAAAGCTGAATTTTCAACTGCCCTTACTCATCTTCAGTGTCATATGATCCTCCAGAAATCATTTTAAAATAACATTTCTCATTATCAAATATTAAAAACACAGTTATGCTGGATATAGAGTCTTATTTGATGTTCAAGTTCAAAAGAACAGTGTTTATTTGAAATAGAAATCTTTTGTTACATTATGAATGCCTTTACTATCATCTTTGCTTAATAAATATATTAATGTATTAAACAAAACTTGAATGGCAGTTTTACCGTGGTTTAATAATTGATCAAGAATTGTGAATGTTTGTATTAGAACAACCCTTTCCTATTAGTCAATATAATCTCAGACCTCAGATGTTTTACCTTGGCGCCAATGAGCCCCTCCTTCCCTGGACTTCCTGTGGGACCTTGAGACCCGACTTCACCCTGAAATATAACTTGCATTCAAACAAATATAACAGCAGGAATCACATGCAACCCGCACACACACACACATAAATGTGTGTACATACCTGCTCTCCTTTCCTCCCTGGCAATCCTGGTCTACCATTAATCCCAGCATCTCCCTATTAACAGGCAAAATTCATGACTTCCAGCAAAACATTGCAACACAACACAAACTTACCTTAAACTCTCTTTATTACTCACCTTGTCTCCCTTTTGTCCGCTTGGTCCACATAGCCCCTTGGAGCCTCGTTCTCCCTGTAAGCAATTAAAGCTTAGACAACCTGTCAGTCACTCAATGTGACAAGGAGTAATGACTCTAAAAGCTCCCAGGGAGGGACTATTTGTAAAGAATAAAATACTATTCATGTGTCAGTCATACACACAAGCACACATACCCTTCAATTACTGTCTTTCTCATTAATGACAACAGATAGAGGTCTATCAGGGATGCTGAATCCAGATAAAAGCTATGTGAGTGTGTGCGTGTATGTTGCCGCTGGCTGAAGGGCAGCTAGTACTGTCTGCAGCGGCCCATGTATCCCTGAGAGCAATGGATTCATACGTAGGAGTCTTTCATGTGCCTCGCTGCACTCGACAAATCAATTTCTCTACACATGCACACACATACACATATTAACACACACAAAATACTTTGATATGATGGATCTATGGTATATATGCAGATGAATATCAGACACAATAGCCTGGAATCCAGACCGTGGAGGAATTATAAGAAGTGAGATCATCTGGTCTGAAGGGCTCCTCAAGGTTACTGATAAAGCTTGCAAGAGTCAGTTTGAGTTTTAATCAAAGAGACAACCATTAAAATGCACACATACACACACACACCTTGAGGCCTCTGAGACCTAGGTGCCCAACCTCTCCCTTCTCTCCTCTCATGCCAGGCAGACCATCTTTACCAGGTGTTCCCTGTAGAGAACAGATAAAAAAAATGAGAGGTAGTCATAGGGAAACAGCGGAGTCTGGGGACTGTATGTGTTATTCATGCACGGATGTTATAGGCATCTGAATAAGAATACACACCGCTTCACCTGGGACACCTGGCTGCCCTGCTTCTCCCTGCAAATGATAAGCAAAAACATTATCAATATGACATCCACACACAATTATGTACATTTTTAAACACCCAAATGTATTTGTCACAGTTATGCTTAGTTTTGCTTTTCGTATCAGTCTGTTTAATCACCTGTGTTCCTTTGTTCTCCTTTTCTCGCCATAATGAGTTACCATGGATATTAATTTAATCATCATCATCACAGCTGTTCATCATTTAGTTCATCACGCGTGTATTTAGTTCCTCTCCTTTACTCATTCTTTTTTTGGTATTGTTTGTGAATACTGTTTCAAGTTGTTGGTTTATGTTTAATAAAGACTGTCGTTATTTCTACAATCTTCATCCTGTGTTTATTCATGTTCATTTGTGAGAGAAGAGAAGATATTTTTTACCTTCTGACCGCCAGGACCACGGGCTCCTTGGAAACCAGTGGAACCTCTCTCTCCTGGCTCACCTCTCAGACCCTACAAATATTAAAGAAAAATCACAAATGAAATGTCTTTCATTTATTATTAATGAGATTAAACAAACATATCGCTACAAATGCTACAATAGATTTTAGGCATCACAACATGAAAACATAAAAAATACATTTTTACCTGTTCTCCTGGTGGTCCTTCCTGTCCTTTTGCACCCTTTTCACCCTGTCCACCTTTAGGTCCTCGCTCCCCCTGGGGAGAGCAGTGTTCAATATAACTGATTGGTTTACATCGACCCAATTGATCTGCCTTTAGCTTGTTGCCTACTGACTCGTTAACAATCTCCAGAATCGATCCTAAGGCAGGCACACATAAATGCTTTATGACCAGTTCTCATATGCACATGTTCTCAAAAGATAAGAGACCTTCAGCAACCTAACCTTCAGTATTGGCCTTCAATTTGTCATAAAGTGACACAAAAGCCACATAGCCATCAAATAATTTTGACTCACAGTTTCTCCTTTTACTCCTTTGTCTCCTGGAGGCCCTCCCACCAGCAGAGTATCTCCCTAGAAGATTCAAAATCAAATACAGAAATAAATAATTCAATATTTAAAAAGAAAAATGTAGTATATCTAATATACAAAATAAACCCTATCAGGGTGGTACAAGACTTGTAGGAAAAATAACCAACTGACTGTTACAAATAAAAAAATGCACATGAAATTTTGATTTGAGTTTAAATCATTTTATTATATAAGAAGAATTAAGTTTAATGGCCAAGTTTAGCAGTTATTATTAAAAAATATTGCAATGGACCAATCAGAATCAAGCATTTCAGAGAGCTGTGTAAAAAATCAGGATGATCAATGCATATTTTAAAAAATAAATCACCTTTTCGCCTTTAATTCCAGAAGGACCTTGCTCGCCCTGTGAAGAATTGGTATATTTAACATTATTTCCAAGTGTATATGACAAGAATTTTATGACATAGTTATTATTTTTTCTTTCTTTTTTTGAGAATAGTAAAGGACAGCCTGAGACAGATTGTAGCAGAAGACGATAAGTTATACACACCTTATCTCCTCTGTTCCCTTTGCTGCCAGAAGGACCCTGTCAGTGGGACAGACAGATGAGTAGAGGAGAAATCTTATTTGCTTGAACATTTGTATGCATTAGTAGATAGAAGACGTGAAGCTCTGCAAGAGGCCTTGACTCATAATGGTTTTAAAATTGCAGCGAGTGGGAGACGAACACATCATAGCCCTGAATATAAAGTATGACGAATACAGTGTGTTCATACAGCTACCTCTGTCCCTGCATCAGCCTTTCCACATTTAGACGAGGGCTCAGATCAATGACACCCATTAAGAGAAACTGACGATATCAATATGTATAGAAAACAGGATCTGGCGGGGTAAAAAATAATGAGGGAATGCTGAATGTCGTAAACAGAAAGGAGTATATTTACAGTAGGGCCTCTCTCTCCATCTGTTCCAGGCCGACCTTCTTCTCCCTAAAATAATTAGACAGATACACCCACCATCACAATCTGATGAGCATACAAGCAAATGGACAAAATTTAGATTAGTCATGGACATTACCCGAGGCCCGAGGTCTCCTCGCTCTCCTCTTAGACCTGGCACTCCAACTCCAATTTCACCCTGAATGTGGAGGCGGAAAAGAAAGTAAAGGGGTAATGTTCTCTTAAATTCCATGTCTAATCGTCTTGTATATTTCATTACAAATTATATAATCAACATAAATTTGAGTGAAAAGACATTTCAGAATGTCTTAGTATTTAGTATATCTTTATTATTACTTCAGTGACAATATGCACTTAGGGTGGGATGAACTCCATAAGTTGTTTCTAGATTTAAATGGGAATGGGTTTTTTTTTTCAGATTTTTGAACAATGTACTATATATATATTGTAAAACATTCTGAAATATGATTGAGCAGCACTAAACAGATCCAATCCAGGGCTTGTGAAGGCACACCGTTGCAACTGAACCAGTTGAACTCATGAAAAAATTAACACCAGCCAAGCGACAAATGCGAGTAGTAATGTGATGTAATTATGTACATTTATAGTTTGACGCAATACATGTTTCAGAGTGAACAGCATCATTTTGTTAATTTACATGTGAGTACCTCATAATCAGGTATTTTCAGTGGCTCAGAGAGGCTCAGATTAAAGAAAATGCTGCTCTACCCAAACTCTGCAAGTGCAGAGGGTTTGGGTCACCCATGACGAGCATTTGAAAACGGAACATGATATGTGCCAACCAACCGTCTTGTAATCAGAATTATTTATAAATCTTTTGTCAGCAAATGAGAAGCTTTAGGTCTTACTGGATTTTTCTGCAAAAATAAAAGCTCTTTCGTTTAATGATTGAAAGCAAAAAAGGAAGACAGCCATAAATACAGTATTAGTATTGTAATTTTACTGTTGTCTTTTTTATTATTATTATTTTCAGCCTATAATTGATTTATCAGTAAGTAAACTTTATCAGTATTGATAAGCGCCACTTTCTCCTACAATTTGACTGCTTCTAAAGTTTTTAAATTACCAGCACATGTGTTCTTTAAAAAAATTAAAGAATAGCACCCTTAAAAAAACAACATCAATTACCTTATCGCCCTTGAGTCCTGGAAGGCCCGCAGTACCCTAATATGAAGATAAAGACATCACTGAATACCACAGAGGGATTGACACTCTTGCCCCGTAACACATAATTTGATTTGAACATTCTTACAGTGGGTCCTGGTTGTCCATCAGCTCCAGATGTTCCTGGGTTTCCTGTTTTGCCTATAAATCCTTGTAGACCCTTACAACAATAAGAGGCATCAGAGGAATTGTGATCACTGGATGCAAAAAAGTAATTTTGTTTATAGTATTTAACACATTTCTTTATGTAGTAATAGCCATTCTAAACATATGTGTCACATTTGTTTCTGAATGAGCAGTTACTCAACTAACCCTCTCTCCTTGTGGTCCAGGGGGTCCTGGCTGACCTGCTTCACCTCTCTGTCCTGCCAGTCCTGGTGTCCCATCCAATCCACGTGGTCCAGGAGGGCCTGGAGGACCTGGCAAGCCAGGGTCACCCTGGAACAGATTAAAAACATTCAATTCAAAATACACACTGGTTTTTTACATTTTCTGTGGTTGACTATATGACTCCAAAAGCCATTTTGCCATTTGGTCGATTTGAGGTACTATCATTCATTTTTGTGGGATAAGCCTAGAGTTTGAGGTTTGTTAGCAACAGCTCCAAAATAAAATGAATCAATGACCTTTAAGCCGATGGGTCCAAGTTGTCCAGGAGGCCCAGGCATCCCCACGCCTGCCTCACCTTTGAATCCTTTGGGCCCTTGTGGGCCTCTCATTCCCTTTAAAATAAATATGATAAAGTCTTTTAAGGATGCCTGTATTATAGTGGAGATGAAATGGGTGGTGGTGCTATTGCTTCTGCCTTTGAAGTGAATGCAGGTACTCACATTTTCCCCAGGTTCTCCAGGATCACCCGCAGCCCCCTGAGAGTAAATAACACTTTAAAGTCCATTTCTACACTTTGTAGATTGGCACTCTATAATATAATCAGACAGTACTCACTCTTTCTCCTTTTATCCCCGCTGGCCCCTTGTCTCCCTTTGGGCCCTAAAATACAAAACAGGCACACAAAAGAAATTAGTATGTGTATGAATTATGAATTCGGAATTAGTTCTACAAATGATGAATGATGACAGAATATGATGGGAAACTTGAGGATAAATGATGGGTCATAAAAAAAAGAGTGCAGATCAAAACATATAAACTTCAAAAACATCATAGTTGTATTAATAGTTGGCTGGACAGAATTTCACATTTATGACCAAAACGAGTGAAACTCACTGATAATCCAGGAAGGCCTCTTTCTCCAATAGTGCCTGGCAATGTCTGACCAGGAGGTCCCTTAAAAAAAACAGCAAAAAGATATGAGTTAATGATGAGGTATATACATCTATGGTGCATTATCTACAATCTATGTCATGGTGCAGTGCAGATAAGCCATCCACTTCCCTCAGGAGAATTGGTACTGTACCAAATGCTTCAGTTATGTTTATTCCATTCATGTTTTTTTCAGGACATTCTGCACATTTCTGAGAGCTTGCTGTACATATTTTTTCAGATATTATGAAGATTCCATCATAGTTGAAACTGTGGATGGGATCTTTTGACAGATTAGGTGCTGCTGGAAGAGTTTGGCAGTACAGTGAAGGCAGGTGATGGATTTTGCTCAAGGCGTTTAATGTGCAACACTCACAGCAGTTTACTTCCCTGTCCTGTTATAATTGTCAAAAAATGTGGTAAATATGTATATGGAGCAAATCAGTGCCAGTACCTAAGTAAACCACACACAACAAGGTAAAATTACAGAGTATTTGTGTCATAGAGATGGCAGAATGCTAAAAAAGGAGGTCACAACTGTTCACAAGTTTACTGCCTGTCAGATTTTTTTTACATGCTGAAAGTACAAATACATCCAGCTAAATATATTAATCAGACTCAAATAATTCTGACTTGTCGCTCATAACAAAAATAAAATAAGGCACTTAAAATGGATGTCAAAAAAGCAAGGTGCTTTTTTGTATTAATTCTTTTGGACAACAATGTGCGTTATAAACTACTCTGTGTTTTTTACCAACATCATTTCTGTGAGTAGAATGGTCCGTACCATCTGATGTCCCTACGCATATCATGCTGGAATTTTGCTTAATTACTGAATTTACATGGTCGTGACTGGTTGAACATAACAGAAAATTAGTAATTATTTTTAGGACAATTGTCTTTTGTTAGTATGTATAATGTTTAAGACTTGGCAATATTTAACATTTATCTTGTTGCACTGTACTGCCCCATTTCTGTTTTGTTCAAATTCTGTTCAAGACTAATAGTTAACTAGTTGTTAGTTAATTTGTGTTATAAAACATTGTAGACCTTATTGTGTTGGATTTGTTTTAAAGACACCAGCAAACATGATAAAGACATTAATGAAACTGGATGGAAAGCATATAGGAAGTTAGAAACTGTCAAAAATGCCCAAAGTTGGTATGAAAAAAACAAAATCAAGGATCAAGGATAGCTTTTGAGTGAAAGCAGGCATAAAAAATTAGATTAAAGTAAAATAAAATATAGCTTCTCTGCTTGGTTTTGAACAAATAATAGTCTTGACATGTTTGAGGTTTACTTGAATAATGTGCTGCGCCTCTGTTGGCATTTGGGTTTTGTTAACACTCTATTGAAAAGCTCACATACATGGCGCTCTAACATTATGTTTGCTGCAAATGAGATTATCTTTCAAACAGGTGAGAAGGGTTGATCACATAGTCCTCAGTGCTCACTATATGTTGTAACCATGGCAACAACTTACCATCTCACCCTTCATTCCAGGGGGTCCGGTGACAGACTGCAGAACACAGTGGAAATAAAGGGAGAGAGATAAATTGAACAGGTTGGGAATTAAAAGCATAGTGTCAATTAAACTACACATTATGTGCAAATCCACACATGGGCACACCTTTCCTGGTGGACCGCTGTCACCTTGCTCTCCTTTAAGTCCTGGGGGGCCAATGGGTCCAGCAATACCCTGAAAGAAAGTGACAGTAAGAAATAATTATACAAAGAGAAAACAGAAAGAAGCAAATAAAAGATGGGGGAAAAAAGAAGCAGAAGATCATGAAATTAATGCACATATGTAAATGTCAAGGTCATCTGATCACTCACCTGTTTCCCAGGTAATCCTGGCAGGCCCTCTTTCCCTGGAACACCATCTCTCCCTGGGACACCAGGCTTGCCCCCCTCTCCCTGTGTATGCCATGATAACATGTTAAAGATAACCTTGTTACTCAAACAATAGTGAATTCTTTGAAGAGAAAATGCACCTTATATTTGATCTATTTTCCTTCTACTTTTGCCCTTAAATTTGTTGCAAGCAACAGTTGTCAGGGTTTGTTTATTTATTATATATAAGTTATGCTCTGTTTATTAAAAAAGATAAATAAAAACAGTTATATATCAGTTCTAAATCTATATTCATATACTGCATTTTAAGAACAGATAATCGAATAAAACAAAACAAAAATGTTTATATGAACACATTTTAAACACTAAAGTTGAAAGCAACTAAATGCATCACATAAATATTTTAAACAGTTTTAACTGGCACTACAAAACTAACTGTTGTGATGCAATGATATTTCCTGGTTGATCTTCAAAAGGGCTGGCATTTTCAATTAGATTGGTAATCAAGTAATCAACTGTTGTTTTGAGAATTAAGTAATAATTGACATTCACAATAAAAATTCCCTTGAGTAGGCTTTTGCGTGCCCTAAATTTCAGAGGGAATGTATAAACAGTATTTGTGTGCATATGTGTGATGTATTGTATGAATATGTGTGCGACGCTTGTGTGTCTGTGTACCTATATAATGATCATATTTTGGGTAAAAATGTACACCAAAAGGGAAGTTAGTTAAACCTAACAAAACTTTTGAAAGGTTTTAGCATTTACAACTAACTAATAAAAACAATGGAAGTCTATGGAATGTCCCCATTTACAAAGCTTAGTAAATACAATGCTTAGAATAAGTGAACACACCAATGCTAAAGTTGACTAAAAAGAGAAATAAAAAAATAATCTTTTGGAAATTCATCTTAATGCCTTAATTAAAAAAAGAAATGAGGAAAACTCCAGCCTTTAAGGGCACCAATTTTCTTTGTGAATGAATAATGTATCGTAAATACATAAATGTTCTTCCTTAAAATACAGGGGGCATGTGTGCAATGTGTGTGTGTGTGTGTGTGTGTGTGTGAGACAACAGGAGAACAGAGAGTCACTACATATAAATTAGGTCTGGGTACTGCCAACAACCTCAAAATATCATACTCATTCATGCAATACATGCATCACGATATCATAATTGGATTGTGCCTGCAACTGCATCAAGCGTGTCAGTCCGAAAGAGTGAATTGCGGGTTCAGTTTCAATCTTTCTTGCATCTCATGACAGTTCTGATGGCACTATTAAACCAATATTTTATAGTTCAAATCCAAAGTCAAATGCTCTTGTCATTTGTGAATGTGTGGCAACTATGCATTGCCACACATTCATCTTTTTGCCAACTGGTTGAAGAGGGAAGCTTGTAATAGAGAATTTATCGTATTATGAAATTCTCTGTAATATATGTTTGTCTGGTATGTTTATTCACTCACCACTTGTCCTGGAAGCCCTGGGGGTCCTTGTGGCCCCTGCAAACATTAGAAAATGCTGCATTTATCCCTATACAGACAAATATAAATCACCACATTCTATGCAAAACCCACAGGATCCACTGAACGTCACAGTACACTGATATTTAAGCGGCATCTGCTGAAATAGGCCTACACGAAGAGGAAAAATACTGAAATTTTGCCAAAGTCCAAGGGCAAACCGAAGACACAGAGGGATAAACAAAGCATGTGAAGAGGCTTTAAGCTAAAGCTGCAGAGATTGTCTAATGACCTCTGTGGAGAGACAGAGGTCAAAATCCTTTTAGCAGTTGGAAAGACTCCAATACAGCATTTTTATCTTACTATGGCTCCAGGAGTGCCTGCAGGTCCAGGTAACCCTCTGTTGCCCTGAGGTCCAGGAGGGCCCTTGAAGAATGAGAAAATATTGAAGAGTGAGTAAACTCTGGTGGGTTAGTTATGTAATTTCAAAAACACATTGCTGTGTTTAAAATCGCCTGAAGGAAAGTGTTCATCTCTATTCAGCTGGAAAACTTACTTGAACTCCAATGCCTGGTTCTCCTTGGTCACCCTAAAATGACATGCATACACAAATAATCGGGACACAAATAGGGACAAAATAACAAACATGGTTCATGCTATTATGGTTGATCTGAAATTACTGCTAAAGAATGAAATTGAGGGGTCTATGTCAAAAAATTCAGTATTTACCTTCACACCAGGAGCCCCTGGGGGTCCATTTCCACCCATCGGACCCTGAAATTCCAAACCAAAGGTTAGAAATAATATTTTTGTTTTAATTTGGGTATGTGCATAACTGAAAATACGTACAGTTGGTCCTCTTATTCCTGGTTCTCCTGGATTCCCCTGTGCAAAATACACATTTGGTATGAACAGCAGGCAGATACAAATATAGTGCACACAGACACACACAAACACACACACACATGCACAGATAAACAGCACAGACAAGCTCTGAACGGACAGACATACTGCATACTTCTGACAACGACTGCACAAACATCGAATACACATACACTACTGTTCAACTTTGAGGTCCAGCACAATTTTCTTAATGTTTTTGTGTGTCTCTTGAGCTTACAAAGGCTGGTGATTTGATAAAAATGCAGTAAAAATAGTAATTGAAATATTATTGCAATTTAATTGTAATATTATTACAACTCCTTTCTATTTCAATATATTTTATACTGTAATTTATTCCTGTGATGACAAAACAGAATTTTCAGCATCATCGTCTTCAGTGTCACATGATCCTTCAGAAATTATTCTAATTTGCTGATTTGGTGCTTTTATTATTATTACTTCAGATGAAAATGGTTGTGCTGCTTAATAATTTTACTGTGGAAACCATAATTTCAGGATTCTTTAATGAATAGAAAGTTTAAAAGAACAGGATTCATTTGAAATATAAATCTTTTGTTATAAATGTCTTTACTGTCACTTTTGATTAATTAAATGTTTTTTTTTTTTTAAATAAAATTGTTAATTTCATTCCAAAAACTAAAACTTTTGAACGGTAGTGTATAAACATTACAAACATTTACATTGCTTACAGAAACTTAAGACAATGTATATTTCAACTCACACATATGGCCATATAACAGACTTAAATAAACATACAAACACACAAACAAACAAACAAACAAACAAACTACAGAGACAAGGACGGCCTCCTTCCCATTATTAGTAAAGCAGCCTACAAACTCAGCCACAGAAAACCTACCGGTCTGCCCAGCACTCCTGGGAACCCAGGCAAGCCCTAAAGAGAGAGGGAGGGTGGAATGGAGGGACAGGAAGTGTAGAGAGGGAGAGCAGAGGTGTGATGGTACAAATGAGTGGAATTAGAAAATGAATGGAGTGGGATTACAAAAAAGAGTGGAGGAAAAGAGGAGACAGATTGGTTAGCGGATAGAAGCAGTGCTGCATTTGTTACTTCTGTGTGGTTTATCTATGGAGCCTCAAGCAAAGGAAGTCAGCTAGTGCTCACAGCAAGGCCTAGTACTCGCAGCAAATCCCCAGGCTTTCCTTCATGGCAAGCCCAAGAGAGGCTGCCATGTTGGGATGCTGTTACTCACTGGTATGCCAGGTCGACCGGCCAGTCCCTTCAAACCCTGCTCCAGAGGAGAATAAATAAAGGTGTGAGTGAGAGCGTAAACTCTCCTCTTCCTCTCCACCAAAGCTAAACTTTCTTTTCATCTCTATTTCATAAATGAGAAAGCATGTTTTTATACTGCATGACCACTAAACTACGACATACTGACTTAACTGATGAAAAAAGCAAACTGATTATAAAGTGTTGCAGAATTCACTAAACATTGCCAAACCTTCAAATGAGAGAAGGAGATTTGTGGAATTCACTATTCTCAGGTAATCTAACCATACAATGTTTTGTCATAACTAAAGTACACAAATATGCATGACTGTTAAATCATAAGGATGCATAAGACATCATCAGAAGGTGGTGCCTGCCAGTGCAAAAGATGTTTCTGTGCAGTTACTGTGATATCTTGGGTGGTTGGTAGGGTATTCTGGTTGGTTAATTGCTGGTTACTTACTGGACTTCCCACAAAAGCACAGATAAGCTTTGGTTCACAGATAAGCCTTTGGTCCCTCCTTTAATGTCAGTCTGTGTGTGGTGTTGTTTTTTTTTTTTTTTTTTTTCCTGTTTTATAATCCCCCAGGCACAAATTGTCTCATTGCTTAAAAAATAACAGCACAGTTCTCCACAAGCCACAGTATCTACAAATGGTGTGGGGCACATTACATGCCAAAGTTTAATACTTAGGATTAAAGATGTGTTCAAATAACTAACCTTAATTAACCTTAAAACTAATAATCAACATCAACATTAACTAGACAAAGCATCAGAAATCCATTTCAATAAGTAAAAACTGGTAACACAGCTAATAGGAATTTGTTTCTCACCGGTTTCCCATCCTGTCCTTGTTTTCCTGGATCTCCTTGATTTCCCTAAGATAACAGAACCACAGTTTTATTGTAAAATTAAATAAAAAGAGAGAGAAGTTCTATTGTCAGCTAAGGCCGGTAAAAGGGTACACTCACCGGGGAGCCATCTTGTCCACGCTCTCCACTGACTCCTTTGTCTCCTTTCTCACCACGAGCACCTGTGTAGCCCTGAGAGAGAAACACATCACAGATCAGACTTTTAAAAACTAAGGTCAAAAATAGATATGGTAGCATCCACACATATAAACACTTCAGAAACTCCACCCTCACCCGCTCTCCCATAGATCCTGGAGGCCCTACCGCACCAGGCTCACCTCTGATACCTTGGGGGCCTGGTAGACCCCTTGGACCAGGCAAACCACTCTGAGTGGTGGCAGAATCGCCCTTAGAAAAACACAGGCATAAATGCTCAATTCACTGTACACTTCCACTAGTGTACTAAAAATGTGAGCTTCATTTTGTTTCACCTTTGGTCCTGGAGGCCCTACTAGGCCAGGCAATCCAGCCGGACCCTAAAAAGAGAAGATTTAATCCATATGAAAGCAAGAAATCAGTTTTTGTACTTGTGCTGTCAAATCGATTAATCACGATTAATCACATCCAACATGATAGTCTTTTTTTTTCATAATATATGTAATATAGTTTATATATTATTATATATAATAAATATACAGTATATGTCTGTGTGTATATACTATATTTACACACACACATTTATATATACATACACACAGAGACACACATGCACACTCACACACATAAATATAATAATATATACACATACACGTATATTATGTAAAAAAAAAAAAAAATCAATTAATCAATTTGACAGGACTAGTTTTAACATACACCAAGCATCGAATGCATAAATGATAGCAATGGTACTTACACTTTGCCCCCTGTCTCCTTTATCCCCTTTCTCTCCCTGAAACAAAGACAAACTCAATATCTCATTTCTACAATAACTTTATATCAAGTGTCTTCTTTAATCAACTCTTTATCCTCTACAAATACCAATGCTCTTCTCTTTACCTTGTCCCCATGTCTGCCGGCTTCTCCAAGCTCACCGGCTCGTCCTGGTACTCCTGGTATTCCTGGCTTTCCGGGTTCACCTGCCTGTCCTGGCGGACCCTCTGGGCCTCTCTCTCCAATTGCCCTGCCTGGAGGACCCTGTGGGCCAGGTGGCCCATTCTCGCCATGCTCTCCTTTCATACCTCGCTCACCTGGAACACCTCGTGCACCCTGAAAGCCAGTATGCAAAGAAGAGAGAACAAAGTTTGAAAAAGAAGAGGAGAGGATGAGATAGTGGAGAAATATAGAGAGTTGCTGGATGTTTTCAAACCAGAACTCAGTTTCAGCACCATGGACAGCACACTAGTTTTAGCATGCTCTTCATCGGATAAGGTCCTGTAACACACTACTCCAACTGTTGAAATACCAGACATCACTCTGTCGCATACTGTATCCGCGATTTTAACTCACATCTGCACCCGCAGGGCCTCTAGGTCCGACCTCTCCTTTATCGCCCTTCTTTCCCTCCGCCAGTGGCATCTTTGATATCAGATTGCTTCGGTCATCAACTAATAGTTTCAGTTCTCGGATCTAAAATGGAAATTTTATGTAAATGATAGGAGAGAGTTTGACATACAAACACGTCAATCTTGTTGATAAATTTCTCAGTACCTCAATGCCAAATTCTGAGAACGCTCTCTTCACATCCTGTGACAAAACCGAGGGAAAACAACATTAATCATCTTTCTAGCCATGCATGTGTGACTTTGTGTGCATGAGCATTTTCCTTACTGCTACAGTTCCTGGTTTGCCATCCTCTCCTGGATCACCCTGTTAGTCAGAAGAGTTGATTTATTACAGTCAGGTATGCTGAGAACTGCCTTGTGTCAGCTCTGAGAACAGTCACCACTAGAATACACTTGCGTAAAAATACACTCACCACGTCTCCTTTCAAGCCTGTTAGACCTCTTTCCCCCTACAAAGGTCAAATTATGACAACTTAATAATAAAAAAATAAATGACATGAAACACAACCCAACACACATACACGTTCACGTACACACATACACACACACATGCACAAAACTTACTCTTGCTCCAGCAACTCCTGGAACTCCAGGTACACCCTGATTGATAGAAAACAATGCATACAATTTGTAAGACAGGATACATACCTGAATATTGCTGGTAATTCAAACTGCAATGTAATATATGTATATGTATGATAATTGACTAAACAAGATTTTCACAGTTTTAGAAGAAATATAAGTGGCGCTTTTTTCTCAAGTGCAAAAATACTACGTTTCTAAAAACAGCTTAAGAACCAGCAGTGGTAAAGGTTAGTGTACTTACAGGGGTTCCTGGAGGACCCTGCGGCCCTGGAATAGGCACTGCCGGCTCCCCTTTAACATAGACCACCTGGAAGAAATAGAGAAGGGTAGAGATATACAGCCAATAAATTTAGAGAATTATTGTGGGATTAATAGACTAGCAGAGTAATCTATTTATATTCAAACATTTGCACAACACAAACGCACAGGTCCTGGTGGTCCGACGTTTCCAGGAACTCCGGGGGGTCCAATGGGACCTTGCGGGCCAATAAGTCCTCCAATACCCTGATCACCTTTTATCCCATCCCGACCCTGAGGAAGAGTGAGAAACAGAGAGAGAGAGAAGATGAGAAAAATAACCATGATCCAAATTAATTCCTTAATTAATGGGCATAAATTTGCACATCAAATAAACTCATCAGTGAAGAGTTTCTCCCATAAGGCTGCTGACTCATAATTACTGACTGCACTCAGCATCAAGCACAGGAATAAGAGCATCCCCGCATTTAAAATATGTGTGAGAGTGTGTATCTATGTTTGCGAGTGTGTTTCTATCATTGAAAACATCCATTTAACAACAAATCTGATTTGGGTGGATGGGAAAATTAGCTATGCGAGACAGACAAAAACAAAAAGCGAGTAATGGCATGGACTGAATAACCGAAAGCATCAAAATCTGAGTACATTTAAAATGAAATGTGGTTACAGGAAGAAAACAGCAGGTACAGGCTTGGAGATAGCAGAGTACAAAATGAAACATTATCAAGAGACACTTTGATGCAACATAGAGAATGAGATCCACAAATGATAATAATAACCTTTTCCATAACATAGGTGTAGGAAAAGTCCAAATGTACATTGAAAGTGTTATGTAGTGCCGATTATAATAAGCTGTGATGGACTTGTCTTGTGATGTGAAAGGCAAGAAGAGAGTGAGAATAGGATAAGATAGATAAGTAAGAGAGACTCACGTCTCTTCCCGCGGCCCCCTGCTCTCCTTTGTCTCCCTGGGAAGGAAGCATAAACAGATTTAATCAGTGAGGCTAATTATCAAAAATTACAATGTAGTCATACACTAAATGTTTTATTACCTTTCGACCATCCTCTCCTGGCACGCCGTCCTCACCCTGAAAAAGTTTGATAGAAAACGAGGCGCTAAACACAGACATCTGGATGAGTGCGAGGCGCGTTTTCATAATTTCTGTAATCAAGACTTCCTGTAATCAGCTCTTCCTGTTTTGGTATAAGAACTCTTGTAATTTTGTGCAGCTTATTCAAGCAGTAATTTCTCTTCTAAACGCTTCGTGCAACACGCAGCCATGTATTACAGATATATGACGGATGCCATCCAGCCCAATATAGCTACCGCAATTACCACAGCTGGTTCAGGGCTGTGATCAGTAAATCAGAAGAAACTGCAGGACAAGCGGGTTTTGCGTAAGCCCAACTCCAGCGGCACAATCTATCTAAGTCAGGTTAACTGAACATTAGTACACGGCTGACTGAAATTCCTCACATATTTGAACTATAAAGCATATATTAGGGTGAGTTACCTCCCACTGAACGCTCATTAGGCTGCTAAGAGGGTGATTTATAATCAGCAGGATGGTTTAATTGTCTCATTTATGGAGGACAAGGGCTGTGGTGTGGTTATTAAACTGGAACGAGTGTTTGCATACTGCATTCTAGATTGAGCTGAAAAAAAAAAGGATTTAAAGAACCAAGTACCAGCTTGGAAATTCATACATTCTACTCATATTACAATGGGGTTGTTGAAAATATCAATAGTAAGGGGCTTAAAATATAGTACATGCATATACTTACAAAGCACTAAATGGTTTAGCTCCCCAGTACCTGAGCGAGCTCTTAACGCATTATAGTCCGTCACATCTATTGCGATCTCAAAATTTCGGCCAGTTGATAATACCCATTATTTTAAAAATCGACTACAGGTGGTAGATCCTTTTCCCATTTAGCACCAAAAGTTTGGAGCAATCTTCCTAAGAATGTCTGCGAAGCAGACACACTCTCTCAGTTCAAATCTAGACTAAAAACACATCTCTTTGACCTAGCATACACAACACATTATAAACTTCTATAATTCAATGTTAGGCTGCATAAATTAGGTCAGCCAGAACCGGGAACACTTCCCATGAATCCTGATATACTCGTTACATCATAAGAAGAATGGCATCTACGCTAATATTAGTCTCTCTGTTTATCCCTAGGTTTACGCAGTCCGCCGTATCCAGGCCGTATCCAGATCTGACGAAGGACCTGTGCCTTGACACAACATCAACACAGTCCTGAAGTGTCACTAGTCCCTGTGAAGGCCTCCTTCCCTTTACCTCTGTACAGATAATCGTTGTCAGGATAATTCCGGTTCACGTGGCTACACCGAAGCGATAAAATTCTGTATTAGAAATTTTAAGGCCAGACAAGTATTTTTAAGGGAAGGACTACATGCCTGCACACATATATTCAAATGTGCATACCTATAGAATGAACTCTTAATACACATGAGCAGGTTCACGTTTTTAAAGTTTGCAAAGAGAGAACTTAAGAGTTGTCTGTTAAAGTAGTGTCATGTTAGCAGCCCCTAAGTTAAAAACTATTGATCGTTGCGACGGAAGTGAATCAATTAAAACTAACTTTATTCTAGAGCTGTCATAAAGCCAAAACAATCTCTGTCTCTGTTAATTTTCTATGATCACTGTAAAGCAGCTTTGGAACAATCTACATTGTTAAAACTAAGCGCTATTTAAATGAAGATAACTTGACTGTATTGCATGTACAGTAGATTCAAAGGTTTTTGAATAGATGTTGGGATCTCATTTACATTACAGCTTCACTTACAGCTTTTCCAGGCAGTCCTGGTTTCCCATCCTCCCCTGCTTTACCCTGAAATAAAACAAAACGTTATTTGGATGTGATAATGGGCTTATGCGCCAGTGTGGGCATTTGTATGGGTAAATGATTTTCTCTACACAAATTAAGCCATGATATTACTCACAGGTGTGCCATCAGTTCCTGGGGGACCAGGTGGTCCTGAAGGCCCCTGAGGCCCTCTTAGTCCTGGCAATCCCTAGGACACAACAATTTAATGTTTATTCATACAGCATCAAAAGTTTCTGATATAAAACTGGACTGATTTGTAACCACCAATAGTGGCAACATCATGATACAAAACAAACAGATTTGACAAAGGGAGGAAAATAAGTACTCACATCTCGCCCAGGATCTCCTTGTTTTCCTGGGTCACCCTACAAAACCAAACACAATTAGGAAATTATTCAAACTGATTGAATGATTCAAACTCTGAATATTTGGCTGATGCGAGGCTGATCATGAAGTGATCTGACCCGTAATCCGGGAGCTCCAGGAAGACTAGGTTTCCCATCCTGCCCGGGTCGTCCATCCAATCCAGCCACTCCTCTTTCTCCCTGCATAATGCATATGCACATGTTCGTGAAACTATCAAAATTAGCTGTGACACACACATATTATACATGCATACAAACACTAAACCACTGTCAAAATCAAATTTTCAAACCAATATTGGGTTGTCAGCACCAACTTGAATGAATAATAATGAAAATGGGCTGACTGATAGATCCAATCTTTGTCATTAACACCACACATAACCATGCCAAAAGCAGCAATCGTCACCTTAATGCAATAATCAATGATGCCCAGCCTAAAAACCCACAAAATGATTATTTCGTGCCGAATCCAAGCTCAATTGGAAATGAACTGGAAATGTTTTTTACTGCTCTTAAAAGTAGCAGTTCTGGCTGACAGTGGAGAAGTGACTAATGTAAACCCTGTAAAGGTAAACAATGTCACTTAGATCAGAATGCATAAGCTTCTTTTCAAAGTCATTCTATTTTAGAGTACAGCAGTGACAATATTTGGAAAGTAAGTGCCATACAGTGGATGACAGCTGAAAAATGGCTGAAATGGCAACGCTGGCTGCACTAATCATCAGTGTAAAGTATAAATATAACTGCTTAGTCACGGATCTCTCTATACTGTTGCGCTTGTGACACTTCATTATGTCAGGTTTTACCTCTTGGGGTTTTAAATAGCAAGGTCTCACTAGCGCTGCAGTTATTAGTTTTTGGCTGTCTGCAAGACTGTTTAATCTTTGTTTACTATTTGTGCTACAGAATTGAAACAAGGCTTTGTTTCACAGTGGGAGGAAATGAGAAAACAAGATTTTACTGATGTCTTCGAGAAATTTTGTAAATCATGTTGCAGCTTTCAGTTTCCTGATGATGAGGAAGAAGAATTCAGTTTAAACCATGTTGCAGCTTTCAGTTTCCTGAGATGTATAATAAATTAGTTTGTGTCTGACCCTTGTGATACTTCTGTACTAGTACTCATCTACAGTAATTTATCCTTTTGTTCTCTGTTCCAATATCCATATTCAAAATGTATATATGTAAATATATTATTTAAATTAAAGTGTATGATTTTTTATTGCATTTGTTTTCAAATAAATACAGCCTTGGTGAGCATAAAATACTTAAAATACTTTCAAAAACATATTCAAAATCTTACCGACCCCAAAATTACAGTACGGTAGAGTATAAAGTATACAAATACAAAGATTGTTAGCTATGTTCGATTATTTAGTGCTTTGCTCAGCACTGATTAAAAGCCAGATAATGATTTTAGTAATTAGAGCTAGGGGAAAAAATCATTCCCAGATGCATTTCAATACTTTTACTGAACAAATTTTTATTTACTTAATTTTAGTTTTTCATTGAAATAGGTAAACTGTAAAACATTACAGGCAAGGGTTGTAAAATATTTGCCACACACATTTGACATTTTTCACAAACATGACATAAAAATAATATTTTGTGTCCATCTGGAGCTAAAGAAACAACAGCCTGTTCACGCCTGTCAAATCCAAACAGAACCCTTAAGCAACCCAAAACTTCCACATAGGTTGAAAAGAGCAAAGTGAACCACTAGGTTTACTGCATGATTTATTTAAAATGATTTGCAGCTGAAAGGCATATATGAAAAATTGATGCATCTAATATTGTTTTGTAATCGCACCATGATTCCCTGAATCAAAATTCAAATGGACCTATGAGGTGTCCCATGTATAAAACTGAACCTGCAGTCTTTGCATTAAGATTCAGAGAACTTAAACCACAAGGCTTTTACTACTTCTTGTCAGGGATGTCAGGACCTGTCACTCATACACACATGATTTAAAAATAAAATAATGTTTTGTGCTAAATATGTTTTTTATTTAATGTCTTGTGGTCATGTTAATGATCTCAAAAAAGAATGTCTGGTGTTGTTTTGGGACAGGAGGGTGGAACGCTTCATTCCTACGGAAATCTACAGCCTGACCACCGTAGTCAGAAAACTAAAGACAGCATGATGTCCCACAGTTAACAGAGAAACCCGGCTCTCTTACCTTCTCTCCTGGACTGCCCCTATCACCTGGGTCACCCTTGAAGAAACAGAAAGTAGAATGAGATATTAAAGACTGCTATCAAAGTAATGACAAATTACTTATAAAGTGAAAATTAATAAAGTGAGTTTCTTCAGATTTAATGACATTTCAGTTATCTGAATGTTTAGAAAGAAACCCGTTGTAAAATGCATTGTCACTGCCCTAAGCTCTACTGTGAGTATATCACTATTTTTACAGTCAGTATGTACATGGCCATAGAGACAAAAACAGGTAGGCAAACAAATGTGTAAATGCCTAAAGGGCACAAAAGCACAAAATAGAGGTACTTACTCTGGCTCCTGGTAGACCACGCTGCCCCTCAGGTCCCTAATAAACCAAATAGTTTCAGATAGAAATCCTATTACTCTCAATAACACATACTGTGTGTATCTCCATGCTGACTTACGCTTGGTCCTGCAGGGCCTGGAGCTCCTCCTTCACCCTTTTGACCTTTAGCCCCATGCTCCCCTGGGTCACCTGCCTCTCCCTGGTGTTAGAAGGAATATCACAATGACAAAATCAGAATATGTGTGATAGAGAGAAATGAAAGACTATGAACATTTTAATGTACCTTTTCTCCTCTGTCACCTTTTAGCTGTTTCTCTCCAGTTGTCTAACACAATAAACATATTCAATATATTTCAAAAACAACTAATTATATGGGGGGGGGGGGGGGATATAGGGGGTAAGAGATAATGATAATAAAAACATACCACATCTCCAGACGGCCCAGGGGGACCTTGTATTCCCTGTAAATACCCATAATGAAGATAGTTAAATGACAATTTCATTGTTTGTGTGGTGGTCCAAACATTTGTGAGACAAGTTTTTAATCTTTTACCTGCTCGCCCTTTTGGCCTCTTAGTCCGCTGGGGCCTGGGGTACCCTGCGCAAAACAAAACTCTGATCAGATGACCAGACAAACAAACCAATAATCTAACCCAACAGTGCAATATACTGTATATCCTACAGTTGAGATCTGTTGTTCTTTTATTTGGAGGCTAGGTTGATGTTTTTAACTAGTTGTAGAGAAATCTCATAAAACAATTAGATATTAATTTTGGGGTCATGGGTCTGAATACACTGAGCTCTTGGTATCACTGGTCGTTATATACAAAGAACTGTATGATAAAGTGGCTACAAATTAAGGATGTAACGAAAATTTGATGCCGTTAATTTGCGGACAAAATTGAATTATATATTAATATTCATATTTCACTATTAATCTATTATCTATTCTATTCATGTTCATATTCCTTAAGATTTAATGTTGCATTGTGAATTAAAGGGATAGTTTACCCAAAAATGAAAATTCTGTCATCATTTACTCATTTACCCTCAAGTTGTTCCAAACCTGTACGAATTTCTTTCTTCATCTGAACACAAAAGACGACATTTTGAAAAATGTCAGTAACCAAACATTTTACTGTACCTTTTTTCCATAATATGGAAGTCAATGGGGTCCAACAACTGTTTTGTTCCTAACTTTCATTAAAATATCTTCTTTTGTTTTCAGCAGAAGAAAGAAATTCATACAGGTTTGGAACAACTTGAGGGTGAGTAAATGATAGAATTTTCCTTTTTGTGAATGGAATTCCTTTTTCATTCAGGAATAAAATCCAGACTGAGTATAAATAATTATGGTTCAAAAAGAAAGTTTGCAAATATTTAGTTAAGCGTGACCAAGCCTTAATTCTGATGTAATACGTTTAGGCAGCCATATGTCTTACATTTCGTCCATCTTCCCCCGGATCACCCGTGTCTCCTTTTGGCCCAGGTTGACCTGGTTGACCTGTTATTCCCTTAAATATTAAATGAACACTGTTAGTATGTGGCTGGAATACAAGTTACAATGATTTATTGCATCACATAACAAATCTGCATACTCACTCTTAGACCTCTCTCCCCTGGTTTACCTGGCAACCCTGATTCTCCCTGAAAGACAAGAGAAGCAGAGAAACATTACATAAAATAAACACAAGCATACACACAAAAAGAAAAAAGAAATAGGGAAAAAATTAAACATACTGAAATACCATCTTCTCCTTTGTCTCCTTTTAGTCCCTATATAAAAAAGACAAGAGATTAGACTTCATGAAATGATGAAATCTTATGCATGCACACGGTTACAAGAACAGTTAACCACATTATACTCTAAAAATAATTACACTTTCATAAATAACGATACAATTCCATATTTCTGAGGATACAGGTGCACATACAGTATCTTTAATTGAGTGCAGAGTAGCATCTGAAGATGTCTATTACCTTGACTACTTGTTACTTCTCTGAGAGAGAAAGATGTTAGAAGAAAAACAAGAAAGAGTTAAATGTTAAAAAAAAAAACAGAATAGTCACAGAGCTGATAAAGTAGAGAGAGATAATAAAAGTAATAACTTTCAGAAAGACCTAATATGACAGACACACTTAACCCATCCCCCCCCCCCCCCCCCCCCCCCCCCCCCCCCCCCCCCCCCTATTATTTGCAGATGAAGTTGTTAGAAGCAGCATTTAGGCCTGTGTTCATGTATGTGTAGAATCATCAAGTGTGTAGACTCTCACATCTTTCCCTCTGGGGCCCATGGGGCCCTGCGAACCAGGATTGCCCGCCTCCCCTCTCTCCCCTGAGTCACCTTGACTGCCCTAGAGTCACACAGAGAAAAGAGTGTGAGCAGTGTATGACAACTTATTCAGGCTAATGCGGAGTCACTGGAATGAGAGAGACAGTTTAAGGGCCCACTTTACCTTCGCACCGGGTTTTCCAGACAATCCAGCGAGACCCTGAATAAACAAACAAACAGCTATTGAAGAATTCAGTTCAATTCAGTGTTTCTTTCTTATTGTTAGGATGAGGGAGATGTTGATGTACTATCTATTTCTGGTTTCTTTAAACTTTATACTGTATTATTCCAATATAGTTACAGAACTATACAGTTCGACATTCACAATTATATTATGCAATTCTAAGTTGTGTTTTTTTTTGTATGCATTTATTTGCATAATGAAATGTGATTAGTCTTCTTCCACTGCAAATATGGAGTCACTTTGTGTTGATTCTCATACATAAAAGACAAAAGGAACAAAAGCAATTCTTCAAGTACCCAACAATTCTTGTAACATATAATGGGGTTTATTAGATAACTAGACTAGGAATATGTTGAATGTTATGACTACTACTACAGCAGCTGATTCGGCATTTCATTTCCACAGAACAAAAGCCCCGAAACCAAAGCTTTGCTGCTATACTTTTACTGCCTTCCATGCTCTGGTATTTCCAAATGCAAATCTAGTGTAGGCTTGCTGCAGTAGTCAGTGATACTGGTGTTACACGGTGTTCAGTCATACACAGATTACATTACTTGCCCATTACGGCACTGCCCACACTGTCGTTTCCATTTTTATAGAAATAAAAACATTTAGTTCAGTTGGACAGCGGACACTACAATTACAAACTGAAAGCATCTGGGCTGCTCCATACAGTACGAGCTGCAGAGTTGCAGCACAGTGCAGCAGGAGTCAGATTTCACTTATCACGTGAGGAGAGATGACTGACAAGAAGGTGGCAAAGGATTTGGTGTGCAACATATACTGAATACATGTGATCATGAATTTTGAAAGCGAAGTAAAAAGCAAGCATGCATTCAAAAGCGATTTTGATACCCCGCATACTGACAGCGGTTTCTTGAGAGCCGCAAATAATAGGCCTATATACAGAGAGTAGGCATGATCTAAAATTTATAAGTGAATGTGAAAAGTGAGCACGCATTCAAAAGCAATCCCCCAACAAACCACCCCAGGTGTTATAGGTAATACCGGTGTTGTCACAAGTTTATAAACCGGTGAACATTTCCTCACAGTGAAAGTCATGAAGACAAACTTACCCGATCGCCCTGGTCCCCTTTAGGTCCGGGTTGGCCGGGCTCTCCTGCTCCAGGGGCACCCTGTGGGACAGATTAGAAAGGTTCATAATGCAGTTCCACAATTTCAGTTGCACCTTGAAATGAATCTTATGAATCCATTTCTGAATAATAAGAATAATAAGAGCTTTTATTTCACAAGTCTGTGTGATCACCATAAACAAACTCAATGTCAACATATGGTTGTGGTTAGTTAGATTTAATTAATGACACAATTTTCATTTTTGGGTGAACTAACCCTTTAAATACTTGTTGCAACCTCCTTTTGTCCAGATAACAGCTCTGAGTTTTCTCCTATAATGCCTGATGAGTTTGGAGAACCCTTCAGGGTTCTGTCACTTCTGTCTAGTCTATTTCTAGGTTTTGTGACAGAGCCCTCACACTCCTGTTTTGTCTTGTCTATGTGCCTTGTTTCATGTGCTTTCGTGTCTTGTGCTGTGTAGCACACAGCTTATGATTAACACAAACTGTGTCCTTTCATGTTGTTATGTTTTGTGTGAACACATGGCTTATGAGTATTTTCATTAGCTGCGTTTTCATGTCTCGTTTTGTGTGAGCAACAGCAACTGAATAAACCATCTCTTTCCCAGTGACAGTTCATCCAGATTATTTATCCAGTTTTAATGTCCCGAGAAAATATCCAGACTCAGATGATCCGTTCCAGCTGTGTCGCCCAGAAGCAAACAATATGATGACATTTAGCAGTAAAAGATTAAACGTAACAAACAAACGAATAACAAAACAACGAGAAGCGACAGAATCCCGTCACAGCTTTTTGACCCTAAAACTCAACTATTCTCTGCAATTCTCCATCTGTGATCCTTGGAGAGTCAGAACTATATTATTTGGTTTTACTCATTGTGATGGATGATTAAGGGAATTTGGCGTTTGTGTTTCCTCATATTTAATCTCCTGTTGCTAGTTACCCTGGTGCTCTAAAAAATTAAATATTAATGGGAATATACTTCAGAGATATATTACTCATAAAAAAATCTAGGGGTGCTAATAATTGTGGCCAACATGTTTTGGAAAAGAACATTTCATAATACGATTTTCCTCCACTTTCAATTCTTTACTTCAATGAAAGATTAGATTTTTGGTAATTTTTAATGAAAGATCAAAAGGATTAACAATGCAGATTTATTTTTACAGCCATCATATTTATCAACAGTGGCAATAATTCTGACCACATCTGTTAGTGTAATATCAATTTTAAAATGTCCTCACTATCTATTAAGACCAGGCAGTTTCCCAGATGAACGCCTTCATTCATTCACAAAACTCACCCTTTCCCCTTTTAGTCCTGCATCTCCTTTATCACCTTTAACACCATCAGGACCTGCAAAGCCCCTTTCACCCTAAAAGAAGAAATAAAAGAGAGTTAAAATGGTTGAAGGTTTGAATGGAACTTTGGCATTACATTTTTTTAAGCAGATTTTGCTGGGTTTGTACCATCTAAATGTCAATATAAAAAGACTATACAAAAAAAAGAATACTATACAAAAAAAAAAGAATAGAATGGAAATACTGTTATCTGATACAGTCAAAGTCTCTGCATTGTTCTCAAAAGTCATACCCGCTCTCCTTTTCTCCCAAATGAACCTGGACCCTGCTAAAAAAAGCCACAGTGAAGAATGTCACCATCAAGAGGACAATTGCAAATGCATTAAACTTTCAAATACAATATAAAACATGAAAAGTCTGATCTTACACTGCTTCCGGGTTCCCCTTTTGCACCCTCTGTGCCCTTAGGGGAAACAGAGACACATAAATTCATATATACTTATATATATTTATATGCAAGATTAATGCTGTTTGTTGAGCTGACATCTTTACTTACCTTCTCTCCAGGAAGGCCATTGCTCCCTGGCAAACCCTGAGGGCACGTATAAATAATTTACAACATGCATGTACACTCATGCATTTTCACATGGTTTGCGACTTATCATGGTTTGTGCAGCCACTCACCCTCAGTCCTTGAGGTCCAGCGGGGCCTGGTAAACCTTTATCTCCCTAACATGCAAACAAGTACACTATTACCCACAGCTCTCTTATAAAAAATACATGTATATATATATATATATATCTGCTTTATCTTTATCTATCTTATGTAGCTTAAGGGCACACCTTTTCTCCTGCTGGACCTGAAAGTCCTCGGTCACCCTAAAAAACATCAAAATTATACAAAGAATAATTCAAAATTAAAACACACTAACTTACTGTCTTTGTTAAAGGTGAAATAAATGACTTAGCACACATAACATTCAAAACAAGCCTGAAGAACACTAAAGAGCAAAACGAATAAGGTACAAATCTGGATACATCGATAGAGAGATGTTTCAGATCATGTGTAGACACATACTCACCTTGGCTCCATCTAAACCAGGAGCTCCAGTCTGTCCTCGGTCACCCTGAAGGAACAATAAAAATCAAAAATTCATCAACTGATTCATAAATTATGCATTCAGAAAGTTTGATGACAAGTCACAATAAAGTCATGGACTGAATTTGTTTCTTTACCTTACTTCCGATTTCACCCGGAGGTCCCCGGGGACCCTGGAATAAAAGAATAAGAATGAATGTTAGAGTGAGTATGAAACATATTTATGAAAGATTTGCATACCCGATCGCCAGGGTCTCCGGTGTTTCCTTGGGGTCCTGGTTTACCCTCAGTACTCTCTCCCTGCAACACCATCACACACACAGGCCAGGTTAAGGAAACACATCCATAGACAAGAAAAGCAGACATTTAACAAAATCCCACACAAGTAACATTGCTTACAAACAAAGTTAAAAAAATACGTCAGACAAATACATACAGTTTCTCCTTTAGCTCCTTTTTGTCCAGTCAGTCCTCGTGGGCCCTGTGGACCAGGCGGTCCAGTACTTCCCTAAAAACAAAAATACCATTCAGTGCATACAATAAAAACTCAAAAACACACAATGTAGAACACACAACCAATTTACAGCAGTAGGCACACATACACATGTCAAAATCCATTTACACTGCCACTTTGTCAAGAATATTGAAAACTCACGGGTTCACCGGCATCTCCTTTAGCAGCAACCCCACTGCCCACTCCGGGAGGACCCTATTAAACAGAATAAACAGATCAAAACATTTAGAAGTTTCTAAATTTCATTCACAATTTCAAAAATTGTGCCTATTTGTCATTACAGATGGTAGTATGCCATCAGAGAGTTCTCACAGTGATTAGATTACTTTATCCTTGTCGAATCCTTAAACAACTTGGGACACTTTCTGCAAGTGTGCCTGCTTCTCCACAACGAAAAATAAATAATTATTATTTCTTTCAAATTCACTAGAAATGCAATGTTAGTTACATTTAACTAATGTAAATTCTTTTTCCATCTGATGTTTACATAGATTGCGTTTTAAGGGCAATACCATGTTCCTAATATATGTAAAAGTAAAACATGCGATAAATATTTCTCAAAAATATTTCTGTATGTTTAACATACACTAAAAAATAGACTAAAAATATGCTTCATGTGGTAACATATAAATGAATTGTCAAAAAATATTATTTAACATTTACATTATTAAATCAGCCTAAACATGCTTTGTAGCTTTTGGACAGTGTAACTCTAGAAAAATATGTCTTATTTCATAATATTTGTTCTGTACTGTTGTTATACTGTCAATTGTCTTCTCATCTTTTTTTGAGAAGAAATTTCATCATAACAATTTATATCGACTTACCCTGTCACCAGGGCTGCCTTTGTCACCCTGCAGGAAAACGAAATGAAACACAAAATCAGACAGGTACATGATTAGCTGAAGGCATTCTGAAACTTCAAACAGTGAAAACAATGAATTACATTTAATTACGGGTGAAAGTCTCAAAATGTCCAGTTTACATCATAGCTGTCAACATTGAACATTGAAAATAAGGGAGATTTCCCAGAATCCATCCCCAAAATAAGGGATTTTTTTTTACACGATTCTTACCCACAAACTTTAAAAAATAAAGTACTAATCACTAAAAGAGTTTATAACTAGCCTGCATATGTGTGAGAGAGAAAGAGATGTGTGTCATAGAGAATGTTTAAATACTAATATCAGCTTATAAGGGAAACAGAGGCGAAGTTAGTAGTGCTTCGGAGGCTGGAGATGATTCGGGGGAGGTCTGTGCACCTTTACCGATCAGAGCGCACGCTGACACGGAGTAAAGCCTTTATACTCGACTCGTCCGCATGAGCGCGTCAAAAATGACGCGTTGTGTGTCCAGGACTGGCAAGCCCTTATTTCGCTTGGCTGTGTGCACAGCTTTTTTTTGTAACAGTGCATGCGGCGCCGCATGCATGTCCGTCTCACAAAATCAGAGCGTAAAAATACGGGATATTTTACGGGAAAATACTAAAACGGAAAGACAGGGAAAAAGAGCTAAAATACGTGAAAACCCAGAAAAAATGGATGGGTTGACAGCTATGGTTTACATAGCAACTTACAGTAGTGTCTAAAATACTATCTGATGACTAAATGGTGACGCCTATAAAACTGGTAAAAACAGGTATTATCACTTTGGGCACAACAAGAGTCCAATTGAGCTGTGAATTCATCCATCAAGCCTTCATTAACAGCATATGTTATATGGAGAGGAGCCATATTGAGAGAAACCTTAAACAGAAAAAGCAAAAAAATCTAACCTTAATAGAAAGCCCTGGAGAGCCTGACAACCCAGGGCGACCATCCTGTCCAGGCAGACCTCGTGGACCTGCCTCTCCTTTTGCCCCATCCACACCTGGGCGACCAGGAGTGCCCTAAAAAGTACAGAGACACACAGACCGGGTAATGTAATAACCCTGTCGTTTACTTGAGTGTTCATACATGCTGCTTTTCTGTCAATGTGCAGGTGAGAGTGATTTTCTTGTGTTTCTTACAGAGATCCCTGGGATTCCTGGCTCTCCTTTACGGCCTGGTAAACCTCCTCCAACAGCAGATCCAGATTCCCCCTGCAGCAAATAGTAAAAAATTGCTAAATAAAGGGGTAGAGTAGAGCAGTGAGAGATTAATTTTAATATCACTCTTACCCTTTCACCTTTCTCTCCCTTCAATCCCAGAGGCCCCACAAGACCTGGTTCTCCCTGTAAAACAAAACAGATCATACATTTTGTAAGAGTAAATGTATGTTTTTTGTCTAAATATGTAGTTTGTTAATGAGTACTCACAGGGTCTCCTCTAACACCTGGTAATCCCTGACTGCCCTAAAAAACAGAATTTCATCAGTTATCAATCAGTTAGTGAGAATTTGTTTAGATTTAATATTTTAAGTGGCACTGTTTTAAAGGGATTTAAGTAATTAAGAGATTAAGAAGTTTTATTATGCATCTAGGCCTGATCATTACCATTCATGTTATGCATTTAGAGGTTCATATATCCACAAATACAGCACAACTGAATTACATTATTAATGTTTCATTCTTACTGGTAGTCCAACTGCACCAGAACGACCTGGAACACCTGGACTGCCGTCCAATCCTGGAAAACCCTAAAAAAGATGAACACAAACAAATAGAGAAGGTGAGATTATATCAACATGTAGGATCTGTGTGCGTGTGTGTGTATGCATTATTAAGTGCCACTTACTCTCTCGCCTTTCTCTCCTCTCACTCCCAGACCACTGCCTGGTTGACCTGGTGGCCCCTCTGGTCCTCTGGGGCCCTCACGACCCGGTAAACCATCACGACCCTAATTAAAAAACAAACGTACAGAATTAGACAAATATTAACTCAAGCATGTAGAAACACATTGGTTCTAAGCGAGAATTAAGAATCCCATTGGGTAGATGAACAAACAAAGCTAAATGTACGTGTAGATGAACTTACAGGCTCGCCTTTCCTTCCATCTACCCCATCTCTGCCTCTTTCACCCTATATACACACAAAAAGAAACAATGTATTCACAAGAAAACTACAGAAAATATAAAAGGCCAACAAGTCAACTTGAAGTTATTAAAAAAACAAAAAGAAAGACACCACAATAATTATTACCTTCTGACCCTGTTCCCCTTTAGCACCCTGAAACAAAGACATAAGTAAACATCTTTTGTGGTACAAATTGCATGTAGATGTGCAAATGTAAACAAAACAAAACTTGCATAAGTGTATATGCAGCTTTTATGTGTAATTATGTTTGGGTGTTTGTGTATTTTAAATACACACTTACTCTGGGGCACTCTACAGTACAAGGCCCTGTCTAAAAGGAGACAACAAATCAAAGTGAGTTTTTTTTTCATACCAGGTCTTCTTTTCTCATCAATAGACGCTATCAAAGAGGTTTGAAACCTTCTGCTGTGTCATGACTCTCGCAGGTCTGACAAGCCAAGCAAGCGTCATAATAAAAAAAATGATGATACGACATTAATGACAGCTTAGACGGATGGATTGTATCTGACCGTGACACCGGTCCCCCGTGCAAGGCCACAGAGGAGGTCTGCCAGGTCGGGGTGGAGACCATAGAGTTGATTTGTGTCTTGAGCAAAGATCAGATTCTGAGTGCTGCCATCAGTCACTGCCAAACGCAGCTCTGTAGGGTCTGCACGTCCAATTCCTACCGCCAACACCGTCACACCTAAGGGACAGAGTTATTACAGCGCTAACTCACTCATATGGACATGGGACAGAGCAGCCGGGATGGTTTGGTATGTGTGTGTAAACTTAATATGTTGGGATTGATTTTGTATGGCTTACCATCAGCTCTAACAGTGGCAGCAGGTTTGCTAAGATCATCGGTTGACTTCTCGTCAGCGATAATAACAACCACCCCAGGAATGCCAGACCTTCGACCTGCTGGAGTGCTTAGCAAAAACTGACGCGCGTATGTCATTGCCCGGCCTGCACATAAATTAAAAAAATATCAGTACTCACATTCAACATAATGATACCATATATAATTTAGATTCTGATGTACCTCACAATCAGATTTCTTTTTTTAACAAATTAAATAATTAAACTTTGGTGTTATGTTTTGTCACAGTTAAAGCCACCTCCAATGCTCTCATTACTGAGGAAAAAATGTGTTTTGTGGGGGGGATGATATACATATTCAACATGACCTGGATGTGCACATACTTACACATGGTACACCAACATCAAAACAGGATAGCCACAAAGTTTAAAAACATTAATAAAAAATTTAACATACAAACTAACCTATATTATTTCCTGGTCTGTCATTGAATGGGATGGACAAAATATCCCGCAGAAGGGTCTCACTGTTGCTATGACGATTGAGGAGGAAGCGCACTTTTGAATCTTCACTGTACATCACCACCCCCATCTGGAGCAAACAGGTATTACAAGAACTTCATTAACACTGGCTTGCTCAATGCCTAATCCACTCTGTCAGAAGAGGGTACTCGCAATTTATATATATATATATATATATATATATATATATATATATATAAAAAACTTAACAGCACCATGACTACTGTATATATTATAGTACATAGTACCTAGTGTAAAAAGCTAGAAAGAAATGCACCTGAGAGTCTCTGGGACCGATGGAGGTGAAGGATCTAGCAGAACTAGCTAACAGAGGCAACACACGTGCTCCCAGGCCAGAGCGATCACGAGACGCAGGAACAAGGAAGACCACATCCAAACGGCCTCCAACACACACTAAAACATGGGGGTATTGGACATATTAAGCTAGGAATACAGCTGAAGACCAATACAAATAGTAAAACAATTTTGCAATTCATGTAGTTCATTTAATTATCACTGCTGTTTGCAGAACAACTAGAAACATTTGTTACACAGCAACACAGCCATGAAATCTTGGCTTGTAAAAATAAACCTATTCTAAGGCAGTTTTCTATATAAATGATGACATTCAATGCACATTGATAGTGTGTACAACATGACATCAAGCACTATGACGATCTGTCGGTCTCTGTAACTTTTAAAAAATTGCTAGTAATGAGAACATGTACTGTAGTGAGCGAAAAATCTCCCTATGTCTAGTATAATTGCATATTATTATATTATGTTAGATATGCAAGCTATAATTTGCCTCAACTTCAAAGTCAAGAAAGTACTGTATAAAATAAACCCACAAAGGTTTACTGAAAGAGTCAGACCTGTATTTTCTATAAACATAATTATTAATTATTTTAAAGTAAAAAATCATGGTAAATTGCTCATACTGAACACAAATGCATATAAATACTGAAATAAGTACTTACATTTGTTAAAATACCAATAATATAGTATCTTTTATTTAGTGCTGTCAATCGATTAAGAAAATTTGCTCGATTAATCACACATTTTTATGTGCTTAATCGCGATGAATCACAATTAACAACACTTAAGTTTTTATAGGTTTATATTTAGTTTATATATTTTATTATGTAATAATTTCAGTTAATCTCCAAATGAATGTAAAAACAACATAAAGACAGTATATTTTAAATACTTGTTTAATGGAATCTTTTTATGAATGAAGGTTAGCTATTTGTGTATACTGTATGTCTAGATAAAAATGATTTCCCCTCCAAATTTAAACATTAATTATAGCCAGTGTTGTGTGTAACGTGTTAAAAAGTAATTGCAATTTATTATTCATTATGATTCTAAAATCATAATAAAAGTAGGCTATACTATGTGCAAAAAAATCAGACGAGCCCAGAATATGAACATGAGCATGTTTAATAATTATACGTTAAGCATTTTCCACCCATAGAAAACATTATAAGAATGCTTAACTTGGCTTAATGCAGATTAGAATGTACCCCTATTATGTTGAAATAACAAGATAAGTTTTTTTTTTCTTCACCATGCGGTTCAGAACTTCAAAAGAATACATCCTGAATATAATTGCTTCCAGAAATTATTTTTGGGGGTGCTAACAGGGAGCTTTGGTCTTTCTTGGGGGCTTTCTTCCTAGCCCCTCCCTAGCGCCGCCCATGTATATGCCTAACAATTAATGGGCATTTCTTCATAAATATTACAAATTTTGATAAATGCATTATGCATTTATTGCTTTATGCATAGTATAACTTTATGTAGGCCTACACATTTAGGAACAGATATTGGGTTCTGCCCAAAGTCAAGCAACATAAAAGTAATGTAAAAGTAACGAGTAACGTAAGTTACTTTCCATATGGGGTAACTAAGTAAAGTAACGGATTACTTATTTTTTACGAAGTAATGTGTTACACTACTTTTTAAAAGTAACTTCCCCAACACTGATTATAGCCAATCAACATAACAGTGTAATTGAAAGCTATCAATTTTTAACTTTTATTAAGCTTGCGTTAACTATTTTAAAGCGATGAATCGCATGTGTTAACAGGTTAACGTTGACAGCCTTAGTTACAAAAAAAATTATTAATATGCGTAACAATGCATCTGAAATCCTTGGGTGTGTTTTATGCTTTCAAACATAACAATCAGTTAATTAATTAAACTATTTGAATTTGTCTATACTGTCTATATCAGGAGTGAAAGAGACAGAAACTGTATATAACCTGTTCGTTCCTCCACGGTGGTCTCAGGTCCAACCTGGTTTTGGAAGGTGGGTTGCACAGTGAAACGGTAAAGACGGCCCAGTCGTAGACCGATCACACGGTACGAGGTGGCTGTTCCGGGCAGCGTTTCAGACTGACCCGTTCCTGTGTCTAAAGAGAGAGTATATAATACACTAAAAAGTGAATGCAACTCTAATTGTGTTTTTGATCCGTAATAAATCACACACTATCAATTCCTGAACTTTTGTAAGGCTCACCCTCTTCCTCTGTCCAGCGTAAAATATAGCCTGTAGCTCCAATTACTGGTGACCAGCCTAAAAGGACTGAATTCTCAGTACTGTCTGTCACACTCAAACCAGTCACGGGTGGTAGGGCATCTAAAAAAGAGACACAAATAATGAATGAAAGAGGCTGGAAAAAGACAGAGAGATAAAATGTGAGATAGATTGTGTCATGTGTACCAGTGGTTGCTCTGATAGAGGTAGCTTCAGTCTCTTCACTGTTCACCACAGCAGACAACCTTATAGTGTAGCTTAGACCAGGACGCAGTCCATCAAGGGTATACGAAGTTGCATCACCACTAATCAGACGACTTGATTCAGGCTCACCTAGTCATAATAGAAACATTACATAAACATTACTTAAGCCTAGTTCACACTACGTGATTTTAAGCCCGATTTAAGCCCGATTTGCAAATCGTTGAGTCGCCGACAAGTCAGGGTGTTATCGCGTGCAAATCGCGGGCGATTAGCGGACGATTAACGCTCGCCAATCCGATAGTGTGAAAGAGCCAACAACGCATCAAAGACAGCTCGCAGACACCTCGCAGACAGGTCACCGAGCTCAGAAAAATATCTAGCATGCTAGATATCTCGAGCAGTCGCGCGACTCAATCTCAGTGATGTCATGAGTACAGCCAATCATAGCAACGCATGGGTTGAGGACACCAGGTAAATCTTACTTTTTCTTTTTTGCATTTTTTTTTTCTCAGAGCAGATCGTCGAGCAAACACTGTGCAGCACTAGTTTCTGTCTGACGTCCATATTCGCGTGTTGTGTTCTTCTCTGCAGTTTCGCGTCATTTCTGGTTCGTTTTATTGCGTGGTTTTTCGTGACAAAACATGGTTTCTAGACCAGATAGAATCGTGTTGTTGTCAACTCGTTATTTGTTTGATTATTTTCAGGATTTAGACCGTACTATAGTACTGAAACAGCTCTCATTGAGTCACAAATGATATGCTCTTCCGATCGTGGTTGTATCTCTGTGTAGTGCGTTGTTAACTCGTGTAGTGAGTTACCTCCTGTTGTGGATCAATCACGTTGTGTTGTGTGGTGTGAACTCATGATTTCACTGAGAGCAAGTCATGTAGTGTGAACTGCACAGTTCAGCCCGACATTTTAAAATCATGTAGTGTGAACTAGGCATTAGTTGTGTCTGGTATGTGTATGTGGGTACATGTGTGCTTTTATAACTACCTTGTGAAGACCTCCAATAGATTTGATATGAGCTGGCTCCACTCACTGCTCTCCAGGTTATACGGAGCCCCCCTGGGGTCGAATCCAAAACACGCAAACCCTCTACTCTTGTCACCCTCTGTCCCCCTAGACAACAAACAGTAAATTCAAAGCATTTTCAAAAAGATACATCTCTCTTAAACCTGATCTGTAGCCAATCTTTAGGGGACACTATGGGAATATATTTATTCTGCTGAATAGAAAAGTATGTGAACACGGTTATGAACTTCTCCAAAAATATACATAAGTAAATATGACTCGAAAAACAGGGAAACAAACAAACAGCACTCACCCGTGGTGACTCTGACAGAGACAGGTGGGCCCTCTCTGTTCCGGACTAGTGCCAAAACCTTAACCTCGTACTGTGCTCCTTCATCCAATTGCCTCAGGTCCACTGATGTTACGTTCCCACCAACCAGCTGACTCTGCTCCTCTTCACCTGTAATCACACTCACAATTTTATTTTTCTATCATAGTCTATATTCTATAAATTTTATGAGCTATAACGCCTGGAGGTTACAAACCAACACCAAAACCTTTTTGCATTTTGATAAAATTTTTAATTAAAAAAAAAGTAATGTAAGTAAATTGATATCACTGCAGTCTAGGAGAAAACTGAGATACCAAAGATCCTTTACTATAGGAAATGACTATGTGAGCGTTTACTTTACTGTAAGATCTCACCATCTGTCCTCTTCCAGAGAATTCTGTATGATGTCGCATTTTGAACTCCAACCCAGCTGACTCGAACAACCTCCCCTTGGGCCTCCAGCACCTGTAAATTGGTGACGCGACCCACTATGGTCTGATCTGAAAAAATAGAATAGGCACAGTTGAAAATTAGACCGATATTAACCTTTCTTATGGCTGAAATCTCTGAAATGGTCTTTTCTTCCCTATTGTGACATATATATGTGATGTGATCTGGGAAAACCCGTCAGATGTCGCGCTGGTACGTTTTCAGTAAGGTCTAAATATAGATTGAATGTCAGTTTTTTGTCAAAATTGGGTTTTTATTAAATTATTATTCTATAACATCTTGTTTATCATCTCTGAATATATCTTGGGAAAATTCACTAGTTTAGTGCAGAAAAATAGCGATTTATAATGGCCAGCTAAAAAAGACTGTGTTTCTCTTTAAGAACACGCACGGCAGGGCAGAGTGGCAAAAAACAATATCTCCCGTTTAGCTCTCCTTTTCTTAACACTACAAAGACAGTTTTCACAGGATGAATTTTGAGTTTGGAAGCTTTCAAGAGATACCTACAGTAATCTATGATGATTACTATGTGATATGAAAAAAGGCAATAAATAAAGAGTGTCAGTCGTTTTAATTAAACCGTTTTTTCTCAAAATTCAGTTTCCGTTAAAACTTCAGATAAACACAACTTTTGTTACAGACAAATGATAAAAGAAATAAAAACAGACTTGGAAAGGGCTTGAACCCAGCTTTAATAGGGTCTCAAAACCTGTAATATGTCAAATTTCACCATGTGGTGTGGGTTTTCCCAGATTGCATATATATAGTATATATATATATATATATATACATACACACATATGAGTGTAATGGCTTTTCAAACAAAAAATAAATGTAGGACGGGACTTGATTTTGTCCACTGGAAATTGATTAGACTGTAGGATTGTTGTCGTTTGCTAACTACTGCCATTTCGTGCGAGTGGAAGGATGGTGAAGGAGAGAGATTATTGTCCAGCCCTCATGCCGGTGTGCATTATCATCAGACAAGTCATTGTGAGGGAAAGGGGAGGATAATATTTTTCATTAAAGATTACATGGGAACATGATTTTTTAATGATATGCATGGATAAATCATTTATAACACACTCTTCAATCCTCCACAAAAAATAAGAATTGCCCATTTTAATTTTATTGTTAAATTGCAAAATTGCTAAATTTCACGTGTATGGTTAATTGAATATTTCTGAAAACAAAAAGACATGTATAATCACGTGAACAAATCTAGAATGCTTGCTTATGGTTGTGTCTAAATGAATGAACATCTGAGGAGTTTTACCTGTCCTTGCAGTCACAGTGGCAGCAGGTCCTTCTCGTGAGTTAAAAAGGGCGGAGACTAATACTTGGTAGGATGCAGCTTCCTGGAGTCTATCAATGGCATAGGAAGCCACATCAGCGCGCACATTCTCAGAGTCTTCCACTCCTACAATATAAAAAGCAAAAGAAAATAATTCCACTTCCATCTTGGCATCAATTTAGGGCACTAATTTGAAAGAATGTTGTGCGTACCATCACTACGCCGCCAGGTGATTTTATAGCCTGTTGCTCTATTCACCAGAGTCCAGGTTATTAGTATCCTTGTGGATGTTGCTTCAACGACTCGTAGCCCTGTGACTATTCCAGTAGAACCACTGGTTCTAGTAGACACAGAAACCACTTCTCCAGTTTTCCCATCAATCACTGGAGCAACACCCACAACAACAGAATCATCTGGCTGCAGCCCATCTATAGTGTAGGTAGTGATATCGCCACCTAAGACACGGAATTCCTCTGGAGCTGAGACAGAGAGAGAGAGAGAGAGCAGCTGACTGATTAAATCCAACATAAATTATATATATATATATATATATATTAATTTAAAAAAGGAAACCTTAGTGTTTGCAAAAACAGATCTTACTATTGCTTTGTCTCCAGGTAACCCGGAAACCTGTCGCCCCAGTAACACCACTCCATGCAATCCTGACTCGTCGACTGTTGCTGCCAACTACCCGCAAGTTGGTCACCCTCAGTGGTGGTTCTTGAAAATATAGTTACCACAGGTTATTTTCAGATCAAATGATCGCACATTAATAATGCATCCATGGTGTCTTCAGTAGTATCTACTATACATTTTTCATAGCCCAGATTTATGAACCAGATATATATACACTCACAATTATCAAACTCTTTTGAGAGTCAACAGAGTAAAAACGACATCACTGGTACATCAGAAAATATGCATGCTCAAACCTGTTTTAATGTACACTGTTGCTGGTTCCCCTTCATTGGATCCAACTAGTGCCGTCACACTGACAGCGTAGCGCACACCGTCAATGAGGTCCCGTAGGTCAAAAGTGGACTGATTCCCAGGAAGTCTTCTGTTCACCTCTGTGTTTGCTGTAAAATATGAGTAAACCCATTGAAACAGGGAATGTAGTGGCAGGTCTAATGAAGGAAAACCTCCTTAATGATATACTGTATTACAAAGTAACATTTAAATGTTATACTGGCGTACTGTATTTGTATCAAAAGGGAATAATATTCTCACATTCCGTATTAAGTATGATGATGTTGTACTGCGTTGCCCCAGCGACTCCTGTCCATCCTATTCGTATAATGTTTCCAATGGAATCCACCACCCTCAGGTTTGTGACACGACCGACTGACTGCTCTACTAAAGACAACTCACGAGTCAACATATTACATGAAAGGCATGGAGGGACAAACAAAAACACAGTCATATCCTAAACAAATAAGCACCAAACTGTTTAATAAACTCAAAAGGAAACATAAATATTTAACTAGTCTGTACTATTTATAGGTCATCCGGTTCATTTTCAAACCATGCTGGATAACATGATCATCAGGTTGACACAAACTTATACAGAATGAATTCTGCTTTGAAATTATTACAAAATGGTAAATTGTCAATTTCATAAAACATTGAGATACAATTAAATGAAAACTAATGAAAAGAAAAATCTGTGTAATATTAGAAAATATTTTTCACTAGTGGTCTCTACAATAAGTACAATAGTGAACATTAAACAATATCATATTGGTTTCCATCAAATGATTTTCTGACCTGTTGATTTGGTTGAAAAGAAAGTGGCTTCCTCTCGCCCATCGTAGAGTGTAAACAGAGTTATGATGTACTCGGTGCTCGGCTGCAGATTTCTGAGCTCATAGTTGGTGGTGCTTTGTGGGAAATCTTGCTTCTGAACTCTGCCTCCTGTGGTCAGCAGGATTACAGAAAGATCACAAAAAAAATCATTAAAGTTTGTTGTTTCTGTAGTCACTTAATGTTCAAATGGTATTTTTCAGTTTATTATTTATGTAAAATTATGTTTTGTAGGCAGATTGTTCATATCAGATACAACTGCATTGCAAACAACCCCTTAACTGTTCATAAAATATTATTTCCCTACAACACTGCCATATATAGTAAAGATTTCAAGGTGTATCTTTCTATGTAATAGAGTTCAATAATTTGTTTTGTGTAACACAATTGCACTAGCTGAGAGAAAATCCATTTAAAGTAAATTACAATAAAATCCCACATCCCATTATGCATTTGGATATTTTTTACGACAAGTTATTAAGTAATTTGTTAAGTAATTTGTTACGACTGAAAATTATTGAATTTTTGTATTGGAAAATATACTGATAATTTTAGTAAAATCCATTTTTTTTGTGTGTGTGTGTGTGTGTGTGTGTGTGTTTGTGTTTTACTGAAGAATTTCTTACTCTCTCCGGCTTTCCATTCCAGTCGGTAGCCTCTGGCGGCCTGTATGAGGTTCCAGCTTAATCTGATGCTGGTGGGTCCGGTTGTCGTTGCTCTCAGGACTTGTTGCTCGGAGCGCTCTAAAAGCCAAATGCATTAAACATCTTTTAGCTTTATCTCCCCTCCTGACCCATAAAATATTAAAACAATGGCTTCCATCTTTCTGTTTTATTTATAGACAGTTAGTCCCTTCTTTCTCTTTGTCTCTCATTATAACATGTCCATGCATATACAAACACCCTCACATGTTCAATTGCTGTTCAATATGTGAGTCATAAGAAAAAAAACAGTTCTTATGTTCTGATCTTGCAGACAGTGAGTCAATAGCAAAATTAAAAGCAACCATCTCACCGTCTGTGTGTGATAACTGTGCGCAAGACGGAAAAAGTGCCGCCGCACATCTGGTTCCCTATCGTAGTCACTTCGAGTTACGTCAGAAGTGACGGAGATTGGGGGTTTCGCATAGAAAGCCAATCCTCTTCGAGTATTAAAACACGAGCCAATGGCATGCAATGCCTTGGGGCTGCGGAAATTTGCATAGCGTACTCCGCCCTACTCCGTGAGTATAAAAGGAGGAAGTGAACGCAACCGCAGTATGTTTTCGCTTCGGAGCCAAGAGAACCTCTTCACTCCTGAAAGCACTGTTCAAGACTCTTCGAGACGAGCGTCCTCTTCAGTGTTGGTGTGACGGCGGTACCCAGCGAGATTCTGCATCGCCTGCGATCTGAGCAGTGGTCTGCCAGACTTTGCGCTTCTCCCTGGTCGCTTCAGCGCTGAAAGAGTGAATTTCCTCCTCTCATTGAAAGAGCTGCACGCGCACGTCTTTTTAAAGACGGTTCGCCCGTGCTCTTCTGGGTGTGATTGATTTCTGTCGTCATCTGATGGTCACGATCGCTGCTTTGTATGCCTGGGCATTTCAGCATGCAGCAGCAGCGTTCGTGGATGACTCATTTTCCTTCTGTGGGAACATGACCATCTCTACACTGAGGTCGAGACTCAATGATCTCACTTGAGTGAGAGTCCCGGTCCCCCCGCTCGATCGGTTTCCTCCATAGGGGGCCCGTCGACCCGGGGACCTGGTGATTCACGGTGATGGTGTGGGATAAGCCCCGACGATTTCTCGGGCCACGCCTCCCGCTCAGTGCGAGAGCCAGCGAGCGTTAGTTTCGATTCAGTCGGTTGCTTCTTCGGTGGCACCGGCTGCTTCGGGCAGCGCTCCAGATGATGATGCGATGTCGATCACAGCATCACTAGGCGGGCTTGACTCCTCGGGAAGTGAGGATGCGGCCGCGTTGCCTCCCTCGGGAGCGTCAGCGCCGCCGTGTCTGATCCCGCGATGATGGCCGTGCTATCTCGGGCGTCCGTGAGCATCGGGTGGGGGTGGAACTCCGCCCCTCCCCGATCTCTCGCGGCTGCTGAATAATTGGTTTTTGGGTAACGCTGCCGCCTTACGGCCACCGCCAACCCCAATTTCCTTTTTCCCCGAGTTGCATGCGGAACTGACACGCACTAAAAAATAAATAAATAAAAAATATATAAAAAAAAAAAAAAAAAAGCGTGCTTAGTTCCCCGCCCTTCCTCCCCTCGGCGATGCGGCTGTCTGTGGGTACGCTGGGGCTCCCCCGGTCGACCGGCGGTGCTCTCAGATGCCCCTCCAAAGCCTATGGGTTCTCCGTCGTCCTATGGGGCGCGATTCTGTAGAGCGGCGGGACAGGCAGCCTCCGCCCTGCATATGATGAGCACCTACAAAGCTAGCTGCTCAGGAATGTGCACGAGGAGGTGACGGACCAAGCGAGCTGCGAGCCTGTCGCTACCTTGTCCTTAAACGGGTCACGGAGGCGGTCGCTCGCTCCCTTGGTCAGATGATGCCCACCGCTGTGGTCCAGGAGCATCATAATGTTCGGCGGTGCGGTCCAGGACTTTGCCCAGCACTTCTCGACCGCCTAGGAGCAGACGAAGGCGGTTTCTCTGCCCCGACGGCCAGCTGCTGCCTCCAACCAGCCGTCGGCTCGGACGCCTCCGCAGCTCGCCGCCGAGGACGCCCCCCTGCGGCTCCCTTCCCTCCCACGCGGCCCCCAGCAGCAGCCTTCAGCCGGTTCGCGTCGCGGAGGAGGCCACAGGTAAGCGTCCAAGAAAAGAGCCCCCCCTCAGGCCGCGTGCCCCCGCTAGATGCCAGGCGAAGCGATGTTCCTGAGGCGGGCCGCTCAGTGATAGTGTCATGGTTTTCTCAGGAGGCGGTGGCAGGGCCCCTCCTTCCCCGGTGGAGGGCCCGTGGAGAATCTTTTTGTTCTAGCTAGCTCCCTGAGCTGGTTGAGGAAAAGCTGACACTGTCATTGAGCACACAGACTGGAATGAGCGCGCACGACGTCCAGTGCGTCGCCCCGTTCATTCCTCTCTGTCTCGGAGGGCGCGGAAGGGTGCGTGTGTCGTCCCCGGGCTACGCCAATCCCTTCCCCCTCTGTCGCCAGACCCCCGGCAGAACAGACCCCCGTGGAACGCTCTGCCTTCCCTGGTCTCTTCTGTCGGGGAGCGGGTTTCGACGGTGCATCCGGACGGGGTAACTCCTGCACGCATGTCGGTCGACCCGCCTCGCTGCCCCTCCGGGGGGACGTCTGTGGTTCGCATGACCCCGTTGGCTCACTTCCTGGAAGCCTGGCTAGCGCTTTCCGGGGGTTCCCCGCTGGGTCATCAGAACGATCGGATTCGGCTACGCGATTCAGTTCGCACGGTCTCTTCCCCGCTTCAGGGGAGTTCGCTCCACGATGGTTGGTGGCAATGCCCCAGTCTTGAGAGCGGAGATTGCGACCCTGCTGGCGAAGGGTGCAATCGAGACGGTCCCTCCAGCCGAGGTGAGGTCCGGGCTTTAGTTTACAGCCCCTACTTCATTGTCCCCAAGAAAGACCGGTGGGTTACGACCGATCCTGGACCTGCGCATTTTGAACCGTTCTCTCCATCGACTACCGTTCAAAATGCTCACGGCCAAACGCATTTTCGAATGTGTTCGGTATCAGGATTGGTTTGCAGCGATCGACCTGAAAGGACGCGTACTTCCCATGTCTCCATTCTCCCTCGACAACAGACCGTTTCTTCGGTTTGCCTTCGAGGGCCAGGCATACCAGTACGCCGTTCTCCCATTCGGGTTAGCTCTGTCCCCTGCGTCTTCACGAAGATCGTCGAGGAGCCTTGTTCCCCTTCGCGAACACGGGGTTCGCATCCTGAACTATCTCGACGACTGGCTGTTACTAGCACACTCTCGAGCTCAGGTTTGCGAACACAGAGACCTGGTGCTACGGCACCAGCCCGTCTGGGCCTTCGGGTCAACCGGGAAAGGAGCAAACTTGCCCCGTGCAGAGGATCTCTTTTCTCGGCATGGAGATAGACTCGGTCGCCATGTCCGCGCAGCTCACGAACGAGCGCGCGCACTCACTGCTGGCTTGTCTTCGACAGTTCGAGGGCAAGAAGTGCGGTTCCACTGAAACTATTTCAGAGGCTCCTGGGGCATATGGCATCCCGCGGCCGCGGCAACGCCGCTCGGTTTGCTTCATATGAGACCGCTTCAGCTGTGGCTTCGCGATCGAGTCCCGAGGTGGGGCATGGCATCGC